TCTTCAGTGTAATGTAAAAACTGTTTTCAACACTTGATGATGTTTCATTTTAAGCTGTAGTATTTTTGTACAGATATTCTAGATTCTATGTCTCAAAATGAACAAGTCAATTAAAATAAAAAATAAAACCTGTAAAATGCAAAAAAATGAACAAAAAGAGTTGAAAATTCCAATTACACACCTTCATATGGTGAATAATAAGTGTACAAATTTTCAGATTAATCCTTGCAATAGTTTCTGAGAAACGGTACGGACAAAACCACAAAATAAAAATGAAAAAACACCTGTAAAATTCAAAATAATAATCGAATCAAGGTGAAAATATCAGGTGCACAACTTCATATGGTGAATAATATTTGTACAAATTTTCAGACAAATCCTTCCAATAGTTTCTGAGTAATGGTCCGGACAAAATCTCGTCTACAGACAGACAGACAGACAGACAGACGGACAGACGGACATGGTGATTCCAATATACCCCCCCTAAACTTCGTTTGCGGGGGGTATAAAAATCAGTAACTAGCCCACGGGCTAGTGGCAGCTATAAAGTTACTAGCCCCAAGTGAAAAGTTAATAGCCCAAATATAGGGGCAAAAATTAAAATTAAAAACTATACGCTGAAAAGAAATTAATTGTTGAAAAAGTCAGGGTACTGAGGTCATTCTTTTTAAAATTAAAGTTTAATTCTCACTATGAAATTAAATCATGTATAAATTATGATGAAAGAAGATCAAAATGAATTTAAATAAATTATCTTCCCTTTTTCTGAACATTATGCACTAAGCTCACTTAGAATGAAATTTAATTCATTTTGTTTTCATCTTAAATCATTAAATACACTATAAATATATTTTATGTGAGTCATAAAACACTTATATTTCAGCTGAGTGAGTGATCGTAAATAATTTAATGAGATATCTGCATGCATTTACCATAAATGAAAGAATAGAGAAAATTCGGATTAGGAAAAAAACGATCGTTTTTGGAAGTAAATAAGTCAGGTAGTGCTGCAAAACAGATCAGATTATGGAGATTTATTGAGAGTAGGAGCATGTTGTCAGAAAAATTTTCACTGGTTGGGAATTTGATAGCAAAAACGAGTGAACATACAGGTTGTGCTTTTCATGTATTGCGTGTGTAGTTATAATTTTGACTAGCCCGACGGGCTACCTCCATGCAGAAATTCACTAGCCCGACCCCAAAAAGTGGTAGCCCCGGGTGTCGGGCGATGCTAATTGCACACCCCTGATACTGTATATAAATGTTATAATCCAACTTTCGTCTTTGTTGCAATAAAAAGGATCATTCTTTGAATTTGAAGTTTCCAATATTTTCAGTGGTTGGACTTAAACTTCAAATTATGATGCGGCATGGTAAACAGCATACTATGAAACTTTGTAAAAGAGGTCAATTTTTCTTTTTTCTTACTAAAAAAAGTTAGTTGGAAAATTATAAAAATAAAGACTGAAACTTTAAAATTTGATAATTCTAACCTTCCAATATGCCCTTTTTTGTAGTTTCATTATCATTTTCCTGGGTAATTAGTTATTTTCTTTTTATTCAATAATCCTTCCAAAAACTCATCACTCATTTTCACGCATTGCTATGAATATACTGTAAGTACAAAAGTATTCCTAGCTCCATGTACCTACAAACTTACCCTCATTTTATCAATGATGAGATTAGTGCCCAGGATGTTGTACATTTTCTCAGGTTGACTAGCCTTCAGTTTTTCTGCCCATGTTGTTTTACCCGAGGCAGGAAGCCCAATCATCATAATCACCTAAACATTTCAAAAGAAAGAAATGTTGTATCCGTTGGGTTTTTAAAAAATATTTCTTTAGACCAATTAACATCAATGTTTGATCCTATCAAGAAATTACAGTAAAACTCGTTTAGTACAAACACGGATATTGCGAATTCACAGACATAGCGAAGTCATCTTGGATCCCCAGCTTTATAAATTAAATGAATTTCTTATACGGTTATAAAGAATTACGGATATAGCAAAGTAATTTCATAGGTCCCAGTGACTTCGTTATAACCGAGTTTTGCTGTATCACACTTCACACGAGTACAATTCATAAAATTTTCAGCTGTTGATTCCTAATGCCCACCTAGAGAGCACTACTTTTAAGCAAGTTACAGAGCAAAAATATTCCCTTCTTGAAGGGAGAAAAATCTGTTACTTGAACTTTGTAATGTTTAGTTATTTGTGGGCTAAATGAGTAGGATGTCCAGAAAGCTGACGAGTTCACAATGTACGAACTATCTGGACACTGTTCAGCTTTGGTCTGACTTTATATGACACTGACCTCACACTCCTCCTTTTTAGCGGGCGGTGTTGTACCCCGGACCCTGTCCTCCAGAGGCACTTTACCAATAAATGTGAACTCCTCCTTCAGGGGAAACCAGGGCTCTTCCTAGTAACATTAAAAATAAACTATTTACATGTGATTTTAGGTGATATTCTCGTTAAACTTCAATTTTTCAGGAAAAAAAATTGTGTTAAGTTTTAGAATATATGTGTATATAACATGTGTAAGCATTACTTGGTAATATTCTGCTTTACACTTGATACTAACCAATGCCCCAAAATTGCACTCAAATGCCACATTCTTTGTCAGAATGTGAGGAAATAATGCCTCCTCTAATTTGGATTTCTCAACTGGAAAACAAACTCCAAGATCATCTCCATTTTTAGCATAAGAGATGAAGATTTCAGAGGGGTCCATTTCATAGTCCTGAAAAAGCCCATAATGGAAATGTTACACATTTTGTATGAAATGTTAAATAAAACTGACAATATTTGTAAAAATCAAATATATGTGCCTAAAGGTCCTTAATTAGTTTTAAACATACATGTACACTGTACATGGCAGTTTATTTAGGCACTGCTCAACATGACTTAAATCATGATCAACTGCTAAGTCAACTGATTTACATACATATGAAAGAAATTTATGCATACCAAATATGCAGTGATAACATCCCCTTCACTGAATTGTTGTCCATAGTCAACGAACTTGCATTCAGTAGCTGCCTTTCCTGTTCCCCCATATCCAAAGGAATTGGCTTCTTCTCCTAAAATGATATAATATACAGTGTGAAATATTTATCAGAATTTGTAAATATTTCAACAAACTGCAATACAACGTGCAATACAATGAAACAGAACAATTTAAATGGAAGAGTTATTTTCCTGAATTTTAAGACTATAAACTTGTTACATATCAATAATTATTAAAACAAACATCTTTCATTGCATATATATCAGGGCTCGACATTAACTTTTTTTCCTACTTGTCCATTCGGACAAGTGACGAAGACATTAACTTGTCCGAATCTCAACTTCACTTGTCCGAAAATTTCCAATAAAGTTCAATAGTTTCAACTTGAAAATTAAAATTAAGTCCATTTTATTTACACATGTCATGCGCTTGATTGATCCTTGATGTTATTGATAAATACCTGTACAACAGACACATAAAACGAAATTTAATTTAGGCTTTCTGTCCTGACAATAACGTAAATGTCCACAATGTCAACATCAAACAATATTCACACTTCGGTTCGTATCTTCCAAGACTTTTCATTTTAGTATGCAATTAGTGAACTTCGATCCCGATCCCGATCGAATGTGAACACAATATTAATATAGCGATACATATCGGGATCGAAGTTAGGATTTTATGTACAGCTTCCGTCTTGAGACTACCGATTTAGCTTTCAACAGTCGTTCTTTTTATTATTTAGAGACCCCTTTGCATTAAAATGCACTTGTCCAATCGGACAAGTGCCCAGCAATATTCACTTGTCCGAATTTATTTTTCATTGGTACCGGACAATCGGACAAGTGTTAATGTCGAGCCCTGTATATGTTAATATAACACTTTAAGTTAGTTTCCTTTGTGCATAAAAAGAATGAATTTGATTCACTTTATAATTGCAACATAAAAAGCTCATCCTATACTGATACACAAACATATGATATATCTACAAGTTTCATTTATTTTATTTGGAAATTTATCAACTAATATATTTATAAATTTAAATGGCTCTCGACTTAGGAATCAGAATTAAGTTCGTTTGATTTGTTAGTTGATATTTTTCTGGAAGTGCTTTAAAAAAGAAATGAAAGTGTTTTTCAGCAATATTTAAGAAAAACACAATTTTATCATTTTATTTTATGTTTAATAATGTAATATTTGAATCATTGGTTTTCTGCAATTCTAGAATTTTAATAAAGTAACATATTTCTTAAAATTTTTATCCTTTTCAAAAAGACTGAATGTTAAGTACAAATATTTTGATTTGGTGAAGTTTATAATAACTATTTTGATTGGTCTGGTGAAGTTTATAATTAATATTTTGATTGGTCTGTTTAAGTTTATATCAAATATTTGGATTGGTTTGGTGAGGTTCTGGTAGACCTGTTTACCTAGCTGCATAGATGATGAATTGGTTGACCAGCCCACTCGGAGGACATTGGGATGGATCTCGTCAGCGGGGAGGTGGCTCACGTCACAGTTCTCCAGCAACTGAAACAAACAAACAATATAATCACACAGTTTTATCATTTTATATGTATATAAACCCCACCCCAACCCCTTCCCAAAATATCAAAATTCAAAGCAATCAATAACAACACACTATTATGTCTGTATTACACATAAGACAGTACTTTGATGATACGCAATCATGACCTCTCATTTCCTTGTGAATATGAGAAAAACCAATTGTCTGATTATGATGCATTCACTTACTTTAACTTCAAAAGCCACTTTTCCGGCTTTGACTCCATAGTTAGCTCTTACTCCAGTCCACATCATGGCAAAACCCCCTTCAGTGAATGGCGCAGCAGACAAATTACCTTCCTCTGTTTTCAGGCTCAAATCAGAATTGACTACAAGATAAACACCATATATATTTATTTTAAATGATTTCCAACAATAGTATGAAAAGTGTTAAAGTTTTCAAAATATTTCTGAAAATGTGGACAATTAAGAAAGTTTATAATAACAGGTAACATATTTAGTAACACACTGTATTGGCCCTACATCTGTCCAGTATGATTAGGAACTTAAAAATTACAGGTAACATATTTAGTAACACACTGTATTGGCCTTACATCTGTCCAGTATGATTAGGACGTTTACAATTACAGGTAACATATTTAGAAACACGCTGTATTGGCCTTACATCTGTCCAGAATTATTAGGAAGTTTATAATTACAGGTAACATATTTAGTTGAGTAACACATTGTATTGGCCTTAAATCTGTCCAGTATGATTAGGACATTTATAATTACAGGTAACATATTTAGTAACACACTGTATTGGCCTTACATCTGTACAGTATGATTAGGACGTTTATAATTACAGGTAACATATTTAGTAACACACTGTATTGGCCTTACATCTGTCCAGTATGATTAGGACGTTTATAATTACAGGTAACATATTTAGTAACACACTGTATTGGCCTTACATCTGTACAGTATGATTAGGACGTTTATAATTACAGGTAACATATTTAGTAACACACTGTATTGGCCTTACATCTGTCCAGTATAACATCAGTAGAAGACTCCCAGGAATCGTCCTCCATCTCCACTTTTTTGGGACTGTAAGCTCGCCTGCAGGTTAAGAAACTCATTAAACAGAAGTTAAACCTAATTAAAATTGTTATGTCTGAAATCAGTCAATTAAGATTTAATTCAATAAATTTCTGGGATGAACACATTTTTTGACCCCTCCTGTATTATATACAGTGACCTACCTTCTTTCCCTGGACCTGGATCGTGATCGGGACCTATACCGATCCTCCCTGGAGTGGTGCCTCTCATGAGAACGACTCCTTGACCTCTTCCTACCATGCCTCTTACCATCTACAATTAGGGCACATTCCAAATCATTCTTTTGGAGTTTTCACATTTCCATAACATTCATTGTGCAATATTATTTTATGAATATATAGCTATATTTTTTAAGATTCAAGTTTCCATAAAGTCCCATGCATCAAATCAAAAAATTTTGGCATATAATTCCATTAAAAAGCCTTAATTTCTAGATTTACCATCATCAGACAATTGCTCCACAGTTGTCATCTCTTCATCAGTTTCTTTCTTTACATCTACACCATTGGCTGTCTCTGCCTCCTCCTTTTTCACTACCTCTGCCTCCTCCTGTTTCACTGCCCCTGCCTCCTCCTGTTTCACTGCCTCACTCTCTGTTGCCATGGGTTCTTCATTTGTTTTGGTTGGCTCCTTGTCAGTTGTCTTCGGTTCAGCTTTGACAGACTCTGGTTGGGCCTGGATTGGTTCAGAAGCCTGTGCTGGTGCTTCCTCAGCCTTAACACTTTCCTCAGTGGGTGCCACTTTTTCTGCTGTATCTGATGCCACTTTTTCTACTGTATCTGATTCTTGCTCCTCAGCTGGTGCCTAAAAGTTTTTTGTACATTAAAAATCAAATTTCTTCAAAATTTATCTTTGTGAATTGGATGACTATACAAAACGTTCAAATATTTTAATAATATTGACCAATGAACCCACTTTAATGATGAAGCTCATTCCTCAAATTGTAAATAAAGCAAAATGAGAAGGGACAGAAAATTTTAATCTACACATTTACTATGAATAATCCAGAGTCCTAAATGACATAGATGGCTGTAAATTAAGGAAAACCACTGAGAAAATAAATGAATATTTTCCTAAAATGGATTTCTTTTTTCAAGACTAGTTTGGTTAAAATAGTCCCGGTGGTGCTTGTAAAGCAGTTGAAAATGTGAAAAGTTTACAGATGGACGGACAAATGGACAACAGATTATCTTAAAAGCTTTCAGATCAGGTGAGCTAATAAAAAACATGTTCTGTTCTGTACAATTTCAAAAAGGTTTTTAAAAATAAATTCAGATGTAATTTTCAATGCAAGTCCTTTTGACCTAGGACTTATTTTGAATGTGATGAGGACTTTTTAATGACAAGAAAATTAAGATATGTGTATTACTTTTACTAATTATTTCCCTGAAAATATTCAATTCTCAGGAAGTAGAAATGTAAAATTGTACAAATAAAAAAAATCATACCTCCGCTGATACTTCAGGTGTTTCTTGTGCTGGTGCATTTTCTGTCTGAAAATTGAAAGAATAAATTTTAGATTTTTGTTTTGAATATAAATTCCAAGAAGCAGCTATAGGTGTAAAGTGGTTTTTGCAGCTTTTGCAGCCAGTATTATGAGAAGGTTGCATACTTGATCATTTTTGGTGGGAGACTCCTGGGAGGTACTGTCATCTAGTGTTGATGCCTCTTGCGATTCATCGGCGACAGAATCAACAGACTCGTCAGCAACTATAAACAACAAAGGTCAAGGTTATTAATGTTAGCAAACAATTCTCGACAAATACATATACATTTGATTAACGAAACGTAATCGGCAAAATTTTACCGTTCTACAATTGTGTATGCTGTGTACATACCCGATCCTCCTTTTTCCTCATTTAATGCCTTTTTTAAACGCTTGACCAACACCGGTTTTGTTCCTTTGGTGTCTAACCCACGCGACTTCAATTCCTCGCGCAATTCGGCAACTTTAAGCTTGTTTGGATCGATATCGCTCATCTTCCTCTACCCAAACTGCTACAAGTTGTATGAAATGATATAATTTAAACGTGCTATTCCATATATTACGTAGTTTAAGCGTGCTTTGGAAATTCACATCCACACAGTTTCAAAATGGCGGCAAGCGGACGCACATGCACGGGTAACTCTATTTTTACGAATGCGGTCTAAAATTATCAAAACGAAAAAATTAATATTCAAACATAAAGAGACATTTAGAATATCACGTAAAACATTTTTGACACTGTTAGTGTATTACATATTTATCTGCCATTTATGTGATATATGTATATGTGCTTTGCCATCTAATTAAATACAAATACAAATACTTTATTGGCACAAACACAATTACACAATTAAATCAGGGACCTATATACAAACTAGTGATGTGGGTCCCTGATTAAAATCAGATATTCGGTGCCCCCTTTTAACGATATGTCGCCTCGTAAACGACATGTCGTGAATAAAGGAGCATCGAGGATCTGATTTTAATCAGATTTTTTGCTTTGCATGATAAATTTTTAAACAACATACAACCAGTCAGCCAAGCAATCAATATCAGTCACATGCCTTTACATTGCTTTAAAAAAAACTTGGTCACTTAAAAAAATTGGAAGCATGGTTAAAAATAAAAAAATATAAATATAAGAAACACAATATCATTTGTTAGAGTTCCATTGCTTTTAAATAGGACATAAAGTTGGTACTTTATCAAATAGTTTATAATATCCCTCGGGCGTTATTAAAGAACAAAATACGGTATTGGCCAAAAAATGCCGGATGTCAGACATGCTCCGTTCAAAACATTTTAAAGAGCTTAGATTTTTAGAATTAAATGATATATAATTTATATACCTGACTCAAAAGTATGCATTGGAAAAATAACGCTCAATACTGTACCTTTTATAGCAGAACGTCGAGATTTTACGAAGAATTTTGACGCGACGTCATACGTTTAACGTGTAGTAAGCGTTATCCGAAAACCCTAACTAACTCGCCAGGTCAAGTAGGAACAACTTAATTTCTTTAATTTTTACTTAAAATAAACTGTGTTGATTTATTAATACTCATTGTTGTTTTTTTTTTTTTTATTTATTTATTAGCATTATTATATACTTACAATGTAATCATCCACGAAGGTATCTCCGCTTTAGTTGATGAGAATTGTTAAAAGTCTAACAGAGGAACGTGGAGAAAAAGGAAAATAAACTATTTTCTTTTTGATATTTGCTTTCATTTTATTGCAGTGATTATACGCTCTAAATAATTTTTTAGCTATTTCTCTAAAATAAATTGAGAAAAATTTCTATATCTATGGAATGCCATATACGACAGCCAACTGCTTACTGCCAACTGCTGACTGCTTACTGCCAACTCTCAGCTGCTTACTGCCAACTGCCACACATATTTGAAGAAATTTTATTTTTATATTGATATTTATGTAAATTTAAAAAAAACCTCGCGGATCTATAGAACATTTTTTCCAAGAGGGTCACTCTGGTAAAAAAAAAAATCCAACCCAGAAATTTCTTGACAAGAAAAAATAAGAAAAGTCCTTTCCTATATGTGAAAATTTATTTCGGCCGGGGAGAGGGGGTTCTTATGCATCATACCTTCATGTGTATGACATTGTTCATACCAACTTAACACGAATCCACATTTTCGGTTGGGGAGGGGGTGGGGTTCTAATGTCCCTTTTAGTTGATTTATTTTATACATTAAATAACTTTTCGTTCGTTTAGTCTGTGCATTAAATAACTTTGCAAATTTCAGAAGGGTGTTCCGGACCCCTCTCTCTAGATCTATGCAAGTAAAACATATTTTATTTGTACAAACAAAGAGATATAAATGTTTGATCGGCGTTTTCTAAGTGGAGGGTCCAAGGTCAGCTATACCGGTAGTTCGTTTAGTTTATTTAACGTATGACTGTACAAATTTTAAATGCCCCCCCCCTCCCCCGATCTATGCATGTGAAACATTATAACACACAGAGATATACATCTTAATTTGAGGAAATTTTTAACTATAGAATATAATGGAAAACAAAATTTTATTTTCAAAACATCCTTCTCTGCGAAACGACAAATCTTTTTTATTAATATTCTCTCTTCAAAGGTTTTGTTGTCTCCGGGAGAGGAGGGGGGGGGGCTTCTTTAAAGATTAAAAGCAGAAAATAGTCATTTTATTACCTATTTCAAATAGGAAAACAAATTTAAAAAAATAAACAATGTACTTTATCAACCGCATATATTGAATATTTCATAAGATAAAACATATTAGTCATTTTATTCAATTCATTTTTATCAGGGTGACCCCCTTGGAAAAAAATGTCCTGGATCCGTGTTTTTTTTGTTTTTTTTTTGTTAAAAATTCATATAAATATCAATACAGATATAAAATTTATTCAAATATATGTGGCAGTTGGCAGTAAGCAGCTGACAGTTGGCAGTAAGCAGTTGGCTGTCGTATATGGCATTCCATATATATCAGATCTAGTGAAAAAAAAATGTACTGATAAAAAAAAATCGATGTTTCCCGGCACCAAATAAGTTCAATTCTAAAGAATATGGAATATGTAAGGTGCAAGAACAGAAAACTCAGATGTCAAGATAAATATTATTTATATTACATATAATTACTGGAACAGTACTAGTAGTATAGATGACTATGGTTATAATTAATGTACAGTAGAAACCCCCCCTCTAATGGTCAATTTTGCTAATAAACTTATAAAGACATTAAATTATATAAATAGGAATGCGAGGTATTTCGATCCCGATTAAAAAAATATCTTTTTAAAATCGAATGATGGGTACATGAAAACCGATTGTTTTCTGTGATATACAATGTATTCATTTATATCCTGCTTGGTGACAGAGGAATACTTAAAATTTAAATATAACACCACCACCCACCCCACCCCAATCGAGTTTAATGAGTTCTTATCATTTATATATGCCTTTCACAAATATCTTTTTTAATAACACATGTAAAATAATATTTGATAAGACTGAAAATGAATTATCAGTAAATGTTTTGATTCAAAAGTTTTTTGTTTTTTTTTTTTTTTGGGGGGGGGGGGGGGGAGTTATAAATCGGACTTTCAGTACAGACTGAATAACATAACAGGCATTCTTTCAATTCGTTTAAAAAGTTTTAAAAACCTGTTCGGAAATTATTATTGGTTAGTATTCAGCTGATTACTCTTCTCGTTTCACACTTGAAAGGCTTTCTACATTTTTATTTAAGTCCGTGTAAATACTCAGAGTCATTTGTTTATATGTTTACATATTCAATACATGTTGACAATTACGTCGCATATAATCGCTCATGGATTATTTCGCAGAATCCTCACCTTCTAGCAGCCAATGACAAATATTCATTCCAAATTCCAAATGTTTTTATTTCAAGTTTTTGCCTATTAATATTATGATCAAAATACGCTTGAGTTGCTAGTATCACTTTCCTTTTTTTTTTCATTTCTCGCAAAATGTCTTTGCCTAGTAGAGAATGTAGCTATTTAAAAATAAAAAAAATAAAATAAAAACTTCCTTATGTCTTTACTTTTCTGACAATTGAACGTGATATACGAGGTACGTATGATTCTTGCAATAAACAAAAAGAATCGAATGGGCTTATTTACAATACAATACACACAGGTATTTCCTACATGTATATGTAAAGGATATACTAAACATGTAAAATGTATTGGTCCATAAAAAGTAATTTTAGTCATTTTCCACAGGAATTAATGTTAATAAAGGAAGCAAAAAAAAAAAAAAACCAAAAAAACCAAAAAAAAAAAAACACTAACAACCTACATGAAGTAAATACATCATTTCATTATGTCAGCACTTCATAACTTGAAGTAAAAAATTCATTATGTGAAGTGATAATGTATTTACATTGTGTTAAAACTTTATTACGTGAAATGAATGTTTCTTTACATCATTTCATTTCTTTAATATGTGAGGTCAAAATTGCATTACGTCAAGCAAATTGTGTTTTATAATTAAACTTATCATTACATGAAGTCAAAAATCTATTCCTTTTTGAGAGTGTATATTTCTATTATATCAAAGCATATTATTACGTGATATGGATTTATCTTTATTTTACGACGAGAGCATCATGATGTGAGGTGAACACATCTTACCTTCATGTCAGTGCTTTATACGTGGTGAAAAAAGTGTATAACATAATGTGAACATATCTTTATATCATATCAACACTTTATTACATTATGTCAAAACTCCATACCGTGATGTAGATATATTATAACGTTATGTCAACTCTTTCTTCTGTGATCTAAAAATATCTTTATATTGTGTTAACTCTTTATCACGTTGATTCCAAAAGTGCATTACCTGATGTAAAAATACATTTACATTATCTCAAATCTGTATATCTAGTATACAATGAATGTTGACGACCGTGTTTTAAAGACTGTTAAGAGGGGGGGGGGGGGGGGGTCCTGATTGATTAGGAAGAATTATACACGCACAAAATATCAGCCCCCCTCTCTTTTCCCAGACATAACTTTACTGTAGAAAATGTAAAGTTCATTGAAAGTACAGCCCCTTCATCCACTTTTTGTTGAAGTATAGTCAACTGAGGGCAATGTAGTATAGCTGAAAAAAAATTAGGACTGACCGAAGTTTGCCCCCCCTCCCCGAAATAGGATTTTCGGGTTGGACAATCTTTTTTGGGCTTATCAAGTTTTTTCGGGCAAATTAATATTTTTTCTGGCTGAACTCCCCTTTCAAAAAGATGCTACGTCACTGGAATTAGAATTTTTTTCAACCATTCTAGGGCCAGAATTCTATTACAAAAATCTACCAGTCCCTCATCTAAATCAGTTGAATATGCCTTAGTAAGCATGCATGGGTACATGTCAGTGGCGGATATGGGAATCTTGAACAAGGAAGGGGGACGGTATATGGTTGGCATAGGCGTCGGAACCGGCTTAGCCCCCTCCCATTTTCTTTCCACAGATAGACTTAGTATAGACATTGAACATCGCTGCGTAGGTTAAGCCCCCCCCCCACTTTCCACAGACACGTTAATTGTAGTTTAGGTTAAAATAATGTGGAAAGTGGTGTTGTTTGGAAAAAATTTTGCTAATGAAGTTCGAACCTAACCCCCCCCTTCTTTTTGCTTGTCAGTTTTTTTATGAAGGTTTAAAAAAAAATTCTTACACTTAGCCCCCCCCCCCACTTTCAGTTTGCTTCCGACGCCAATGGTTGGAGACTAAGGAGGAAAGCAGAGAAGCTCTCAGGCTCTATAGTTTTACAGGGAAAAAAGTTTTCAGCTTAATTCTGCTAAACTTCATGTGAAACTAATGCAATGTCCTACAAAGTAAAACCAATAAATTTATTAATTTTATGTATATTTTGGTCACTAAAGATGGTAGGGCGGGATTTCTGCCCACCCAAACCCAACCCAATCCACCAGTGCACGTGTGTTATACGATGTGCATGGTGTTTACACTTTTAAAAAAAATAAGGAAAGTTAAAGACTGATAAAAATCTTATGATATTGTTCTTAGTAGGATCAGAAGTTTAAGGAGGAACAGGACCTATAGCTGAAAAAATTCCTGTCAATGAATTTTTTTCTTATTTATAAAATTACTAATTTAATATGTACTTAACATTTTAAAACGGTCCTATCATGGGATTTCTTGACTAATTTACAAGATATCACTCCAAAAATACCGCCCTGTTTAGAGTTTGTATGGAGTTTAGATACTTCATGTTTACGGGCCCATAACAGAGTCCATAATGCGATTTTTTTACGCACAAACGATAAATATGATTGATAACACTATATACTCAAATATTTCAAAATATTCATAATGTTTAAATTATCTGAAAGCAATTGTTTTAAATTTATATAGTATTTGGATGGGATAATTTCTGCATTTTTCAAGGCAGCTTCAACGACAAAAACCTCATTTGGAAAAAAATCTGTCAATAAATATTTCTAAATTTACGATTGAATGTCAGTCCTTCATCGTAATTATTTACTGCATAAATATCACAGGGTGAAGCTTACCTCAATATCGCACAGGACATCGTTGAATTAGACGTAAGCATGATAAAAACGCTTCACGTTTGTATTTTCCGAGTGCGGGAAATCAATTGTTACGTCACACGAAAATACAAACATTCAAAATTATCTAAAGAGAGAGAATCTCTGCTACTAAACACGAAAAAAATATTAATTTTAAAAAAACCTGCTTCAGAAGTTTATCACGATACATGACGGGTGTGTGTACTTGATCTCGCTGCACTGAGAATTCAAACACTACGTCTATGACGTCACTGACGTCAGACTGCAGGGTAAAGAGAAACAAACGTGTGGATTGGGCAACTTTACAATATCTAAATGATGGCAAGATCTTTAAAGATTTTATTAATAATAATTTCTAAAATTAAATGTTTAAAAAACAATTTTAGAATTTAGAATAAAATTACACAAGAACTGTTGACTTTAACAACGTTTAACATGTATATCATCACCGATTATGACGTGATATGTCTGTTTAGTCATGTGACACGTGTCCTGTCTCCCCTTAAGACTTATATCAAAATAAATAAATATGAAAAGAAAAAGAAAAAATTACGTACTGCACGTCTCATCATATTTGATTTATTTAATTATCAGATTAAAATAAACGCCATTGAATTTCGACGTGACTTTAATTCACAGTCGCAGTGTTAAGGCTTTGCACGTTTCAAGGTTGTCAATCATTTGTCGCTGAAAAAATTATTCATTTTTCAGCATAATTTAACGATTTTGCACGACCATTCGATGTTTAGCGCGTATAAGTGACGTCATAGTTAAAAATTACGTCATTTTTGTACCTGTAGAATTTATTTCGCATCTTCCTTACTTCAATGCATAACATCAAACAATGATACAAAAATGATTAAAATATCGTATTATTTGCGGCGAATTATTGCTAATACCGTATTTTGTTCTTTGATAACATGACCAACGTCATGCCATATCCGCGGCTATGCAAATATAAAAATGATATTTTATATTTCTTAATCAACAACCAATGTTTGGAATAAAGGAAGGTTATTAAAAAACATTCAGTCACTTAATTTGAAACACGAATATTTACAGGCCTATATATATACACAATAGCCTTATTAATGAAAAGTTAAATCAATATATAACTAGTCTAAAACAGTATGTAGTTAATCTTCCATGGCGTCTATGAAACATTGATGACACCAATCATCACCCAACACCGTTCTGTGTCGAGAAGGAGGTTTTTTTTCTCTGCGTTGAAATGAAGTTTTTCAGCATCTTCGGATTTCTACCAACCGTTGGTCTGACCGTTGCTGGAACATGCTCGGAGTATACGATAACGAAGAGCGCGGATTCCACCCTACACCAAGCTTATCTGTACCAGAGCCTGACATTGTCCACCCTGATAGAATGTGCCTCCTACTGCCTGAGGGGGGCCAAGTGTAAAGCCCTCGCCCACACGTCTTCACAGACTTGTAAACTGTTCACAAAATCTAAGGAGGAGGACCCAAGTCTGGTCCAAACGGAGATCGGGACAAACTACGTCACTAAATCTGACCTCCCCTCGGTAAATCTCTCTCTCTCTCTCTCTCTCTCTCTCTCTCTCTCTCTTTACATTTAAACATTAAACATAGTCAACAAGATTTTATTATATTAATCTCGTTACCGGTTTGAATTCAATAAATGTGGATTTGGATGACAAGGATGGTTTAATTAGATAATATCAATTATATATGTATGGCAAAATTATGACGGTAGTTTTTATTTATGTTGACAAAACATGCAGTAAAGATTGTGGAATGAAATTTGTTTTGCGCTTTGCGCTATGTAGAGATCTGTAATTAACCAGATTGCAATTTACAATAAGAAAAATTATATATCATTAGTTACAGTATATAGAGTTTGTTAATATTAGAATTTTCTTCCGTTGGTTGATAACTTACTTGTGGAAAATACCTCGATAATATGCTGATATATAAGTGCAAAAATAAGTTTAAATTCAACAAAGAAAGTGGATGAAATGAGGAAAATGTGTTTAATTTTATTATTAACAATTATTTTTATATTCTTGATAAAACAAGGACTTTATGTAAGACTTTCTTTACTTTCCACACTGTGACTAGCTGCAGATCTGTAGCGTTATGGTTTTATATATTTGTCTTTGACCACAACGCTACAGATCCTGTAATCTAAAAAGGTGCAATTTACGGCGCAAGATTTTTTGCGCACTTTTGGGGAGAATTTCTCCACTTTCCAGCATCGGTTAATTAACTACCTTTCACTTCCTAATTCTAGGTACATTATTTAACTAATTTTTATATTTTATCCATCTCCCAACCCTTTATAGTCGTCTCTTCAAGTAATAAACTCGCTTGATTAAAATTATACTTGTTACATTGCTGAAAAACACTTCAAGCGAGTTTATTGCCTGTATAGAGACAACTATAAATGGTTGGGAGGTGGATCAAATATACACATTGGCTACAGAATGTGTCTAGAATTAGGGAGTTAAAGGTAGTTGATTGACAGATGCTGGAAAGTGGAGAAATTCTCCCCAAAAGTGAGCAAAAAATATTGCGCCGTAAATTGCACTTTTTTGCATTACAGGATCTGTAGCGTTATGGTCAAAGACAAATATATATAAAACCATAACGCTACAGATCTGCAGCTACACTGTGACCTGTATGAGTGTTACTGTCTTCTAGACATTGAATTGAGATATTTATTGCACTCTTCATTGTTTAATAATTTATAAATATGTAATTTTATTTCTATTTATTCACCTCTTTATTTTTATTTTATTTTGGTTACAGAAATCTACCCCGTTAATTCTGCTGCAGGGTAAAAGTGTTTCAATGTTTGTTTTAAAAAATTCATTTCATTTGAAACGTCGGATAATGTAACCAACGTATATATTGATTGCTGCTAGGCATGATTGTTGTACATATGAAAAAATCATGAACTCTTAAAACCAAATACAAACGCATTTATACGAATAAGTAATCTCGTGAGAATATTGAACAGAACTAGGAAAAATATAGTTACAGCATTCATAATACCAGTTAGAAAAGTGCTGGTGCAAGTGCTTAGTCATAGTATATACTATAACTGTTCAAAAGTAAGATTAACGTTTTTTTTAAAAAAAAAAAAAAAAAAAAAAAAAGAGTGTCAAACTCTAAGGCCAAGGTAAAAAATGTTCGTCTTCTCACAATGACCTAAGAGTTCGATCCACTTTTGCAAAAATTTGCCGACCAACATATTAACCCTGGCTATAAATTTGAATATTTAGTGGTAGGGTTTTCATATTTCACATGTATATATCCGTCTTGATAAGACCTTTCCATGGTGTTTAAATATTTTTTTATGCGCCCGGATCGATAGACCCAGGGCGTATATTGTTTTTGTCCTGTCTGTTTGTTTGTCTGGTTGTTTGTTTGTCTCGAACTTTAACCTTCACCATAACTTTTTTGTACCATGAAAGATAGAGACTTCATATTTGGTATGCATACTCCACTAATTAACTTCTTTCAAATGACACCAAGGTCAATGACCTTGTGACCTTAACTGTGGCCTATATGATAAAAATAGCTTTTTTCTGCTAACTTTAACCACAGGAGTCTGAAGTTTTTATCGTCAAAAAAAAAAAAAAAAAAGAGAGAAAAGAATAGAAATAAAAAAATCCGGAAAAAAAATTGCCCACCCTCAACTAAAAAAAGTTGAGGGTGGGAAATTTTTTTTCCGGATTTTTTTTTTTTGACGATAAAAACGTCAGACTCCTGTGCTTTAACCTTCGCCATAACTTTGAAACCATGAAAGATAGAGACTTCATATTTGGTTTGCATACTCCACTAATCAGATTCTTCCAATTGACACCGAGGTCAATGACCTTGTGACCTTGACTGTGACCTATATGCTAAAAATAGCTTTTTTAAACCCTCATTATAACTATGGAACCATAGATGTTGAGATTTCATATTTGGTACGCATACTTCACTAATCAAACTCTTTCAAATGACACCAAGGTCAATGACCTTGTGACCTTGACTGTGACCTTAATGCTAAAATAGCTTTTTCCGAACTTTGTTGCCGCCGGGCGCATAGTGTTTCACAAACACATCTTGTTTACCTTTTGAACTTGACCAAAACTCGTAGTTTGACCCATATGCCACTTTTAAACATCTGTAACCATTGACACGGGTCTCATTTCTTTGGGTATCAACATTTTTTATCTCGCGCCCTTGAAGTTTGACCTGCATTTGGAAAACTCCAACATTCGCCATAAGCTGGGTTTTGAGAATTTTTGAACTATGTTTTACATAAAGTATATAACAGCAGTTCATTAATTTAAGTTTTCTATGTTCTGTGTTATCATATAATATAATTCAGGTGATCTCATTTTCTATCAAAATTAAAAGAGGCAAATGTGCACATTTTACTGACTTTAATTTGTCAGTACTATTAGTATATTTTTAGGAGCCCTTCAGGCTCGGTGAATATTATACTCTTCAGGTGGCTAAATCATCGTATTGCATGACCTAGTTGTATATGTATATGAGAAGTTTGAATCCTAGTGCCAGCATGCATAATATTTATTATGTAAAGGAGAAAGGCCGAAAACTGTCCATTCTGTGAGAGAAAGAACTAATCGAGGACCGTAGGCCCGAGATTAGTTCTTTCTCTCACAGAATGGACCGGCAGTTTGAGGCCTTTCTCCTACTTAAAACACGAATCTCTTTGTTCTGAACATTTAACAAAAAATGTGCAAAACAGGTAGCACACATACTATGAATTCATTGTTTACAGAATGGACAGTTAAGGGTAAGCTTGGGGTGTACAGCAATTTGTTGAATAGCCATTGTGCTTCCAGTTGCAAATAACAAAAGGTCTTTGTCTAAAGAATGGACAGTTACAGGTGGATTTAGAGGGATGCTAGTTTTTATATAAAAGGCAAACATGTTTTCCTCCGATGGAGAGAATATAATTATGACAGAATCGAAATCGAAACCAAAAGATGCACACAACCAGTGATACTTTGACCTGGATCAAAGTAAGCTTTTACATTTCAACTGTAGAACTATTAAGGTATCTGAAAAGTGCTGCGATCCTGATGAAATCTTAAAAACAATTAAATTAAATCAATATTTCATGCCGCTGACCAGCAAAAAATAGAGCATTCTGCCATACAAGTATAATTTTAACAATGAAATTGCAGAATTGAGACAGGATCGCAGCACTTTTTAGAAACTACAATGTGTGTTGAAAATATTTATATACTAAACTTGGAAATTTTACTTGATTATGCCCTTGCACTAGTGATATTTACATGACAAATACAGGTATTTCAAATTCAAACCGGAAATGTGTTTTTTTTTTAATTCGAATTCAGTTTTTGAGGATATACCAGCAGTGTAATGGTGAAATGCAAATTGTGTTCCGAGTGTTGGATAGCCATGGGCCAAACTTCGACCTGAAAATGTATATCAAATCAAATCTGGAAATGTTTCAATTTTAATTATTTGCTACCGAAATATTCACTGCAGCAGTGTAGTTTTTATGGTGCATGTTTTCTGGTTGATGGATTTAATATAAGCCTACTTCAAGCCTAAAATGGATTTTTTTCTAAGGAATGATGCTTCCAAAATCTTAATCAAATGTGAAATTGTGTCATTTAAATTCAAGTTTTGTGAATTGAAATAATGTGCATTACTCATTGATTTAAATGTGTAAAATCGAACAGATCCGATGCAGACACTGTGTTCTGGATTAACTTATATCTCCAAGTTCTTTTTGTTATTCACATGTACATTAAATCGTATTTAATATATTAATTTTTTTTACTCAAGCCCTATTTTTTCGATTTACTCAGTTTTAAAACACGAAAATATATTATTTCGGTGGATAAAAATATTTCTAGAAACAATAATGAAGCTTATCTTGAAAACATCTGTATATTCATAGATATTAAGTGTTTAATGTCGGATTCTTTTCTATGGCGAATGAACAATGAGTGAAGCCCCGCAGCCGCAATAGTTTCTGTACAGAGATTCCGCGCTTTCCTTTGCGTAGGAATCTCAGGTAGCTTTCAGTCGCCGACGTTTTGGTCGCCGACAAAGCATCCTTGGACGAGTCCACTGGTAACTCTGAAAGGTGACGCAGGTTACCCCATCGTTAACAAATTCTACAGTGGATGGCCAGAAAATGGATGGTTGTGCCCCCTCCTCCCCAACTGATATAGTAACTCACTTGCCTGCAAATGATGTGTACTTTGAGTGACAATAAGATAATAGCACAAAATAAATTATTGATAAATTCTCACTCATATGTACGTTTGTTTTTCTAAATAATAGAATTATCGTCAGTTTGGTAATGGAACCTAAATAACTTCTTTTGGATTCGTACGGACTATGTATTGGACATGCCACACAGCTGGATAAATCCGTATATAGTTACGTGGATTATTTGCAGCCCGCACCCCCTCCCCCTTTTGAAAAAAAAACTTTACTAAAGGCTAGTAACAAGCTATTGGGATTGATGTACATTAAATGTGTCATAGGCGTCGGAAGCAAACTGAAAGGAAGGGGGGGGGTAAACCAACAAAAACACGTAAAACCCAATTTTCAATCTTATGTCTATCTTTGCAAAAAAAAAAAAAAAATGCCCCCACCTCCCGGTTCCGACGCCTAAGGTTGTGATGTACGTTATATAGCAAATAATCCCAAATAATGTATATAATTTGAAGTATATATTAAATGTCTACATAAACAAATATTTCATTAAATTAAGAAACGGAAACTACATGTATCCTGTATAAAATATTCCTGAAAGTGTGTAACGTAAATTCATCTTAAAAAGTAATACGATTAATTATATTTATTCTAATTAAATTCAATTTATATGAATTTTGTTTCATGTACATGTATTTTATTCAACAGAAGATTGACTCAATAGCCCTCGTCGCCCGCGTGGCGCAGTGGTTAGAGCGTCTGCTCTAGAGTCGCGAAGTAAGGAGTCAATCCTTACGTCGCGGGTTCGAATCCCACTGTGGGACGTGGAGACCGGTCGTTCGGATGAGACCGTATAAACCGAGGCCCCCTGTCGCAGTAGGTGCTGGCACGAAAAAGATCCCTCACTGCTCAAAGGCCCTGAGTGCAGAGCATAGGACAAAATTTGTAGCCCTCCACCGGCAAGTGGTGGCGTCTCCATACGAGTGAAAAATTCTCGAGAGGGACGTTAAACAACATACAATCAATCAATCAATAGCCCTCATCTTATACCATTTTAGGATATTGATTAATGACACTTTCTAGCTGATTTTCTACAGCTTGAGTATCTCTGACGTTTTGTCAGTATATACTTGTTTTTTTCCCTCTTGTGCACATGCTAAGGTTTACCTGTAACTCTCCATTCTGTTTGTTTTTAACTGTCCATTCTTATTGAAAAAACTGTCCATTCTTTTAAGAATGGACCAAAAAGAATGGACACTTACAGGTGACTAAATGGATTGTTAGGGGGGTTAGCTCAACATTAAGCTATAGAATGGACAACACAAATAAAAGGTTTACGTCACAATCATGTTTTAATTGTAACTAAGTAAAGATGCATATCTGATTTGGATATGATTTCACTCCAGGGTATCGCTGGGACGTGCAGTGGACACGTTTGTGGAGAGGATGACCTCTGCGTTCAGTCGGACTCCACCTACCGATGTATTCCCGTATATGGAGGTAACGGGAGTAGGGACAATGACGTTATTTTTTTTAAAAGTGCTAATATTTCAGCGATTTTTAAGCGTTTATTGTTTTCAGTTGCACATATTACCCGATACAAGATTTTGTACACGTAGAAATTAATCACAGTAATAAAAATTTCTCTTGCCAGGTAAGCGTTGCTCCAAACCACCTGGGGTGAAAAACGCAGTAGTGGACTTTGCTGACCCCGAAACGTATCCCTGGGGCACGGGGGACAACGTGAGATTCAACTGCAGCAGCAATGTCACTCCCACCGGGGGCCCCTCTGTGATGACTTGTATGGACACTGGCATTTGGAGCTATTCCTTTTCATGTTAAAATTGAAGGCTTCTATTGTGTACTCATATATACGGGCACCTGATGAATGGATGGTGCCCCCCTCCCCACCTTTGGAAAATTTTATTAGACATATTTCATCAAAAATACTAGTATATGAATTCCTTATCAACAACACCTATGTTTCGATTTCTGATATCATTTTCCGTTTTTGTTTAGTTTCAGAGATTGTCCCACTATTTTTATATTTTTATATACCCTTAGAGTACCCGGAGAAATCACCTTACCATCTCACAAACAACCTCTGTTGGTCACAGGGGTCGAACTCGGGGATCGCAACGGCGAGAAACGTGTGTACTACCATTGCGATACCCGGACACATTAGAGCTACATTTCCCAAATCCCCGTTTTCCAAGTAAAATATTGATGATTTTGATCCAATTGTGGGATCAGGTGCAGAGGAGGAGTAAGCATCCCCTGTTGATCGGACAGTCCCGCCGTGAGCCTTATATGTATCAACTGATCAGACAGACGGAGAAGAATACATAGTTTAAATCATTATTGTGAATTAAAAAAAAAAAACATAATTCACTACTAGTATTTGTTTTAAGCTGTCGAATTTAGGCCCGGATTGAGGATCAAAATCCAGAAAACGAAGTGCATGGCTCAGTCAAACCTTTGACCACATTGAAAGGGGCAGTTTTAATCCAGATCAAAATTTAAACGTTTGTACGGGAAGAAATGTGCAGTTGTTGCAGAAAAAAAAGTGATTATGCCCCCGTAATCGAAGTTTCGGGGTATATGAATAGTTTTTGCCCTGTGCGTCTGCCTGTCTGTTTGTTTGTCCTCAAAGACTTTAACCTTGCCTATAACTTTTGAGTGCATGGATACGGATATGGCTTTTATATTTCACTTGTGTATTCCTCGTCATAGGACCTATCTCTGGGTACCACCAAATTTGACCTCTAAACCTTGACTTTGGAGTTTGACCCACATTTACAAAAACACGTAACTTTAATCTTGGTCAAAACTTTGAAATACTCAGCAGTTGGTGCTAGGGCTTTCATACTTATATTTCACACGCGATTTCATTGTGACTAAACCTTTCACTGGGTATACATATTTTTTACCTTTTGACTTTGACCTTAAAGTGATACCTACTTTTAAAAAGCCTTGGGCATAGCTTTTGAACAGTAATACTAGAGTTTTGATATTTCATAGGTCTATTCATTATGACAAGACCTTCCTTTGGATACGAACAATTTTGACCTTTTGATCTTGATCCTGGAGTTTGACTTGCATTGGAGAAACTTCAACCCTTGCCATAAACTGCAATACGGGGGCATCAGTGTTTCATAACACGTCTTGTTTTATACCCCCTGCTTGAAAAGTGGGAGGGTATATGGTGATCGGGATGTCCGTACGTCTGTTAAGCTTTGGGGCACCCATCTATTATCCGCAACTACTCTAATATCACTGAATGAAATTAAATGAAACTTTCACAGAATCTTTATTACATATTGCAATTGTGCGTCTTTTATTTTATTTTTTGTTCGGGCTCATATTTCGGGTTTCCCATAGCAAAACAGGATTGGCACTCCATTCTTTCTATAATATTGAAGGATATCCATCTCTTATCCGCAGCTCCTCCTACACAACTGAATAAAACTTTATGATACTCTCACAGATTCTTTATTACAAAATGCCATTGTGCACCTTCTATTTTACTTTTTGATCTTACACTTATTTTTCGTCTCCCAGAGCAAAACACGGATTTTGCCACTATAATCATATGGGAGGAGGGGGTATCATTTAGTGAGCTTAGTGAGCTCTTTTTTTTTGCAATAGCTCACATATATCCTGTACCTTTTTTTATTGTTCCTCCTACACAACTGAATAAAACTTTATGATACTCTCACAGATTCTTTATTACAAAATGCCATTGTGCACCTTCTATTTTACTTTTTGTTATATATTTTGCCACTATAATCATATGTACTAGTGAGTTTAGTGCATACATTGCAATAGCTGCATTATATATCCTGATATTTAATTGTTTATTTTTATATATGTACAAATAATCATTTATGTAGGATTTAGTAGATGAAATATCGCGTATTTTTGATATGTACGTCACTGTATATTGATATAATTTAATTTCAGTTGTAACACGTCATTTGATTGGATAAACGATTTTATCCATTTTGTATAACATAACTTGCCTACGTCACAATGAGTTACGTCAACAAACATATTACTCCGCTTGACGTTAACTTTTAAAATATGCGATATTTGAAGCCTTTTCCCGAAGGAAAAAATGGAAAAATTGTCCCATTGTCAACATTGAAATTAAATTATAAGGAATGAAGCTTATTTCAACTTATGTTATACGATATAACATAACTTGGGGCAGTTTACGCTTTTTTATAAACCGCTTCGCGGTTTATAAAGCGTAAACTGCCCCCAAGTTATGTTATATCGTATAACATAAGTTGAAATAAGCTTCATTCCTTAAGGAACACCCACAGCCCATTGATTCATTGATTGAATGTTGTTTAACGTCCCTCTCGAGAATTTTTCACTTATATGGAGACGCAACCATGCACTTTTGCCGGCGGAGAGCTGCAAATTTTGTCCTATACTCGGCACTTACGGTCATTGAGCAAGGAGGGATCGATCTTTTTCGTGCCAGCACAGCGACAAGGTACCGGTCTCCACATTCCACAGTGGGATTCGATCCCTTTGACGTAAAGATCAACTCTAGAGCAGACGCTCTAACCACTGCACCACGCGGGCGACCAGCCACACTCAAGAAATATGTGCAGATTATGTGCTTATTGCTGTTTACTGACTGATAAACGGCAATGATTTTCTTTATAAATAAAGGGAATGTAAATATAAATTCTGTCTGTTTTAATGCACGATATCATGAGAAGCTTTCGAGATTTTACAATGAAATTTTACACAACTTCCAGTGGCCCAGGAAAGACCTCCATTGATTTTGAGGTCAAAACTGAAAGATCAAAGGTCAAGGTCATTAATGCATACATTCTGTTTGTGGTTGAAATTGTCCTTTCCAAGCGATATCTCACGAAGCTTTTACAATGAAATTTTATATCATGGCTCCTTATTGACTGCTCCTCTGAACTACTTATAGGAAGATTTAATGATAAGGCAACAAAAAGGTATGAGTGTTTGAGGGTGGGGTGTGGGAACAGGCTCTTCGATGAACATTTTTAACAGTAAAAGGTTATGTTTCGAAAAAGGGGAATGCCCTTCATAGTACGTTGCTGCCAAATTCAGAGTTAATATGAATTTGTCAATATTTTCAGTTAAAATTATATTGCATTGAATGATATATTTTTACTGATACAAGCTGCCAGGGGAGGGGGGGGGGCACAATAATTTTGCCGATATATATCCTATACTCTGGAAATCGAACCCTTTTTATTGGTGTGACTGCTCAATAAATATTTCTGATAACTCCCTCAGTCTCTCAGCTTGCCATGAAATTTGTGCTTGACGGTGCCCCCCCCTTAAAAAATGAAATTTATTCCCTTGGACCTGTTTCTGACAAAAAAAGGATACAATCATTTGAAAATCATGTATATTATACTAACTTTCATCTACATCATGAAGTTTGTCTGTCTATGAATACTGTCAATCAAGTGACCACTGTGAAAGTGTGGGTACCATAGTATTTACTTGTAAATGTGCTCCTTGTTTTTCACTGTAACTATTTTATAGATAGTATTTATTATCTTTTATTGTCATTTATTTTTAATAAACAATTGAAAATTTGTCAAAATTAATAATCCCCAGTGTTTTTATGACTTCCTTTCCCTGAACTTTTGTGTGAGGTGCTGTGTTTGGTATATAATGCCATTAATGATAAAATGATATACATGTACTGCGGAATGAAAAAAATTGCTGCATACATATTTAAGCACAAATGCAATTGGTACTGCATTTTGCTACCTCATTTAAACTGCGAAACTTTCACCAAAATTAGCAGTTGTGCATGGAATCTAAACTGAAAAATCGTGAATCATGATCTATAAAATACTTTTCAAAAAAAATGAAACCAAGTGTAAAGTTATGCAACATTTTATTTACTGATCAGAAGGGAATTGCAGATGTTGGATATATAACCTCCCCTTCATTACACATGTACACTTGTAATTCTAGCATAAATTGTTTTTAGAATACACATGATGGAATTATTCCTATTCCATAACTGTGTGTACTGTACTCATGATGTCATCCAAAATATGGTTCCTGTTTTCCATGGTGACCTGTCAATAAGGAATTCATTATATTCAATGACAATCATAAAATACACCAAGTTCTAGATAATTTAAAAAATCTATCTAAAAAAAAACATCTGTAGTCAGCCATACAACTTCTTTATCAAGTACTCAAAATACTTAAAATATTTTTTTAACATTAAACACTTTTAAAATTAACACCAGAATGTTGAGGAACCATTTGATAAAGATATTACTTTCTCTCAATTTCTATTTACAAATACTTTGTTTAACTTTTCAAGCATGCTACAATTACAATAAAAGTCTATCCTATATGAGCAACAACACCCACCTAAGTAAAATAATTTTTTCATAAAATGAAATACCCCAGTATTGTAGCTATAGTTGTGTTCCAATCATTGATTATAATTTTAATTTTAAAGATTTTCCCCCAAAACATTCCCAAAAAGACTATGAGGCCCTTACTGTGGCCCCAGCCTAGTCACAAGTGTCAACTTAAATCACCACTCAAATAAAGTTCTCTCTACTGGATGAAAAATGATTCCAAAAGATTTTTTATGTAAATTGCTTCCAATGCAAGAAGTTAACCTGGGATGGACTGATGCCCCATCCAGACACAGCCAATTCTCTTATCTGCTTAGCACCACAGAAAACAGTTCTAAGCTTCAGCCTTGATTTGCTCCAGCACCATGCTTTTATTTAATATCTATATCACAGCCAATTTAATGAATGTTAAAGCTACTTATCTAAGCATTGGATTCATGGGATCCTGTTATATATAAAAGACATAGAGAATTTGTAGCAAATGAATAAGGGAGATAAATCCTATGACCACTTCAAACAAATATGGATCCTTACTGTGAACACTTGTGACTGATTGTGGTTCCTGATTTCTTCCACAAAAGGAATTGGCTTTCCTTTAGGTATTGGTATCGTGGCTATGATGACAGAGTTGGGTTTCTTTAGAAGTTCCCTCACCATAGTCACAAATGTTTGACTAAAGAGTTCCATTTTACCAATCTCATCAATAATAAAAATCTGAGAATGTCCCGTATCTGTCTGAATAACAAAATACATGTAAGTAAATGTAATACACAATGTGTTCATTCTTAGCTAAAAAGACATCTTTATTTTTACTCTCTTCTGATGTCAAGTTCATTAAGATAAAGCAAACAGTCAATTTTGTTTCGGTATAATGATTTTTTTTTTTTGAAAAAAAAGATAAACCTCTCTTGTTAAAGCCAAGGATATAAAATGTTTTTATAGCTTTACAAACCTGAACATCACCATTGTATTACCTGTATATTTTTTGGTATCCTTAATGTAGGGAGAGCAATACTTTCAAATGATGTGACTTTCACTTCATATTTACCAACCAAGTGGCTCCTTTTATGTGAAACACTTCCACTGTTAATGATGATATAACTCTGATTAATGACAATCTGATTAACATACGAATCTCTTTAACATATAAAGCACACTTTATTTCCAATTAGTTTAAACTACATAGTACTGACAATTGCTTTTAATATCAAATGCAGCTGAATTTTGGTAATCTCGAACACTGTTATTATGATACTACCGGTATGTATTGTCAAAATGTTTTTAAAGTCCTTAACACTTATTCCCAGCATATCTCAATTCCTCGGATATCTTGAACCTTTTTTCTTGGTCCCATTTGGTTCAAGATAATGAGGTTAGAGAATGTATGTTGAAAAGGGTAACACTAACAGCTTGCTAAATATTTATCATGCTAAATTTAGCAAAACTATACATGTAAATTATATGAAGGAAAATCTTAATAGTAAGAAATAGATACTTTTCATTGTCCTGTATTCGAGCCAGTGGTCCTCTGTTCCCGTCCAAGGTAACCACATCGAATCCTAACCGCTGTCCGTCTGATCGCAGCTCCTCCGTGTAGAATCCTCTAGCCTCCAACCCAGAATCACACAGAGCACTGTTAATTTTCTTTATAAGTGTTGTTTTTCCTATTCCTAAACAAAAAACATGGTATCTTAAAGAATCATGCATATGGTGTGTTGATGATTATCCGTGTGTTGTCCACTACCACCAGATTATCCCTACCAATCTCGCTGAGATTACAGCGAGCGCAGCAAGCGTCGCAAAGCAATGCTCGTCAATGTGAGCTCTTAAAGCAACACCTGTGCGAAGAGAAAATTTGGACTGCTGCACATTCTTTCGATAGAATTTTTTGACGCAGTAATTTGGACCCACAATGCATCACTTGTTAAAGCTATGTTCTCTCGAGAATAGCAGCAAAAGTTCAATTAAAAGTAAACATGCCCTGATTTTATGGATAAATATTGAACATAAATAGTAAACGAAATGTTCTTCATTTCCTTTCAGCACTGTTCAGGCTTCTTTTTGGAAATGTAACTTACATACGACGTCATGTGAAGTCAGAGTCTAGACGCACCAAATGTCACGTGCAGTTTGAAGAGCCCGATCTAAACTAGTGTTACTCCCAAAAAATCCCTTTTGTGTGTTATTCCTGTAAGTTTTTTATTTGCTCAGTATCAAGGATTTCTTACAATAAAAAAGTTATAATGATATCAATTATAAATGTCATTCAACGTTTTGAACGTTCATAATTTGATCATGGCATGTTGGCTATTTTATATAAATGTTACCATTTTTAAGTATAATCATTTTGCGCATGTGCATGCATGTCCTTGCATTCAATTTTGATAGTAGCATAATGTGGGAATCCATTATACCTATTCATACTCTAAATTTCATCCCGTTCTGTTGAAAACTAAGAAAGTTATAGGCATTTAAAGTTTCGGCCAATCAGATTGCAGCACACGTGCATGCGCATGCTTTCATGATAATTGTTATATGTCATGCTGTAGATCTTCATAGTGTATGACCATGTTCAAAATTTCAAAGGATTTTGTCGAAAAACAAGAAAGATATTGAGACTTTAGTTTCAGCCAATCAGAGCGAAGCGCACGTGCATGCCATTGCTATTTTGATCATGTCATTTTAATACTATTATATATTTATATTTTGAGTTTCAAAGCATATAATCAAAAAATAGAAAAGTTAAGGCCATATCTATTATATTGGTCATTTTACGTGTTGCACGTGCGCGCTCTTGCAAGCACATGCGCGCAAAATTACCTTGATTCCGCAAATCTACATAACATGTCTACTAACCCTAGAAAGGCTTTACCTACTTCGGGTGAACAGTTTACAAGATCACTCACGAACAAAAAAAGTACCCAGGAAAAAGAAAAATGATAATAAGAAACAGAGTAAAAACAATATGTTCCCCAACTTAGTTTGGGGAACATAATTATTACAAAATAAATATCTGCGCTCGCCATAACTGTAGCACCGTCAACATATTATTGTTGATACCTAAATTTACTCCCAAAACAAGTTTTCAGCAACTTACAGATTGAATCGAAGGAAATAATTTTTAGATTTTATATAATTTTTTGTTCACCGCTTCCTCATGTTCCTCTATAATGAGAAATTAAGATCGTTTCACCTGGTCTTCCTGTTAAAATGACATTTTTGATCCCACTAGCAGACGTTGCCATTTTTTCATTGGAAGACGTCAAAGTGAAAGTAGCGTGTATTGACGTAACTGGAAACGTAAAAATGGGAATCCGGATACAAAGAATATATAAAATTTACCGGATGATTGTTTACTAATTTCTTTGAATTTGGAAGAATATCCCTTCATCATAATTTTGAATATATAAATGCACATATCATATAATGAATGCATAAAATAAATACTCTTTTTATTGAACGGAAATAATATATCTGCCTCGGTTTTAAATTTAGTTTATCACATTTACTTCCGTGTTTATATGACAAGTAATCTCAACATTTAAAATGTGAAATAAGTTATTAAGAATGGGAAATTCGAACATAACACAGCATATTGAGACCGCAGAGAAAACAGGTGCCTGTCAGCTGTGTAAAGCCGGGCTGAAAGAGGTCAGTAAAAAAAGACATCAACTGAAACGGACCTATAGCCCTCTTTAACATAAATGTAAATTCTTCATGTTTTGTGCTACTTTGAACGACTAATTTAAATAAGATAAAGATATGACAATTGTTGAGTTAAAAGTACAAACATAAGGATTTAATGATAGTTTATTCTTGATTTATATAGTACAATTCTCAGTTAACCCTGGACTTTCAGTAAGGCGTGGCATTCTCAACGTTACATAATTAGCGTCTGAAATACATGTACACAGCTTTTCATTCACTCTTGAAATATGCATTCTGGCAAGTGTCAACAAGTGTATCAATGATCCGATGATAGCGTTTTGTACGTCAGAGAGTGGGGCTTAAGTTGTTTCATCTTTGTCAACAACAATTTAAAGTTGCTGATGTTATTCTAACTAAACCAATCAGAATCTATTTGCCATTTGAGAGATGTTAATTATGTAGTGTGGAGAAAGCCACGCCCTACTGAAAGTCCAAGGTTATTTGAGAATCGTACTATAAGGGTTATGGAAATAAATTTTTTTTATGGTTTCGGTTTTCTCTTTGGAGATGAGGACACATACAGTGTCACATTATATCCACTTCTGAAGATTAAAACTATACAAAGTAATATATTTAATGAGAATATAATATTAAGTGTCTAACATAAATGGTCATTTTTTAAAGTTGGGAGGAGTTGCCCATGTGGCACATTGGTAGAGTGTTCACTCTAGATTTGCAGAGTATGGTTTTTTTGTTGTTTAGAATTTTTCACTTATATTGAGACACCAGCAATTGCTGGTGGAGAGCTGAAAAATTTTACCTTTACTTGGCACACTGGGCCATTAAGCAGTGAGCACACTATATAGGCCATTGACATCCCACAGTGGGATTCGAACCTGTGAACAGTATACAACAGTGATGCTAGTCGTTTCCTGTAACTTTCTTTCTTTGTCTACACATCCCACAGTGGGATTCGAACCTGTGACATAAGGATTAACTTAAACTGTGACTCTAGAGCAGATGCTCTAACCACTGTGCCACACAGGCAACGTCAGAGCAAGGAGTTAATCCTTACTTCACTAGTTTAAATCTCACTGTGGGATGGTGATAACAGTCCTTCAGATGAAACTGTATAAACTGGTCCCACTGCTCAAAGGTTTCAAGTGTTGAATACAGGTAAATTTTGCAGCCCTCCACCTACAAGTGGTGATGTCTCAAAATGACTGAAAAATTCTGAGAGACATTAAACAAAGAAAGAAAGTTGCAGGAAACAACTAGCATCACTGTTGTATACTGTTCAACTGACGTGGGCAAGTTTGCTGAATCTAGATTAGAATGCTGGAGAATTTTATTTTTTTTAATTTATTTTTTTTTTAACACAATTCATTTCATACAGAAACATTAAAAATCTGTGTTACAGAATTGTGTATTTTTACATATAAGAGAGGAGGGAGAGAAGAGAGAGAGAGAGGAGATAGTTATAGAAAAAGTTGGTTCCACCTGTTCCATTGAGTGTCAAATTTTTCTTTTTCGCCATTTTTATATGATTTATATTTTTGTGTTTTATAAAATTGATTCAAGTTTGATATCACCGATTGCACATTTAGAGGTTTTTTTGTACATCTAGAAGTATAAATATAATATTTTAGCCATAAAATTATAACATTCGCTATTTCATTATTTTTTCCTTCAATGCCTAAAATAAATATTTTTTTTTTGTTATGGGCAACTGGAGATTTCTCTGCTGGAGATGATATTCAAAATTTTCAAGGAGTAATTGTACAAGGTCACATTCCCATAAGATATGCTCAATTGTCTCTACTTCTCTTTGACAAAAATTACACTGCTTAGAATCTACCTTTCTGATTTTGAATAAAAAAGAATTAGTTGCCAATATTTTATTCAGAATTCTGTACTGAAACCACTGCAGTTTACAGTTTTTTGTAATGCTGGATGCTGGAGAATTAATAAGATCTCTGCAATTGTCATTTTAGAAAACCGTAGATACCCTTGAAATTGTTTTTGTTGGTAAATTGGACCATTTTAATAGATTTTACCATTTCAGTCTATTTAAAAAAAAAAATGGAGCAATTCCAAGATTCTCAGAAAATCCCTACTATTTTCAATAAGTATGCTTTCTATATTTATTTTTAGTTTCCAAAGGATCTGCAAAAGCTCACAAAGAATCTGAGGACCCTAGATTTATCTGATAACAAGCTTCCTGAGTTACCTCCCTCTATCGGCTCATTTTCACTTCTGAAGAATCTGGTGCTGTCCAGGAACAAGCTAGGTACAACAGAGAACTATAAGGCTTGTTCTTGTCAATTATAAAGAAGCTTTCATCCATAATGATTTTTTTAAAATTTTTCAGAAATTTTACCAGAAGAACTTGGGAATTTGAAGAAATTAGAAAGTTTATCACTGGATGGTAATAGTCTAACAAGACTTCCTGAGTCTCTGTCACAGTTATCAAACTTACGAACTCTGAATGTGTCAGAGAATAAAATCACAAGCTTTCCAAGGTCACTTAATACCCTTAAAAATCTGGATGCTGTGAATTTATCAAGGAATAAAATAACAGAAATTCCCGAATATGTCAGCACATGTCAAGCGATTGAACTCAACTTAAATCAAAACCAGGTATATAATCTCATGTGATCAATCTTAAAAAGGTTTCTACTTAGCACTAATAAATTTATACATGGCAGTTATTCTTCCACATTGTTTGTATGATACAATTTTTTCATTATAATATAAAAATAATTGCTTTAAAGACCATTCTACATATGAAGCATGAATTAAGGTTGAATGTAGCTGAAAGCCTTCAGTAAATACATTGTAATGTAATAAAATGGATTGCTTTTATCAGATTTCTCGTCTGTCTGAGAGTATTTCCCAGTGTCCAAGGTTAAAGGTATTGCGACTAGAGGAGAACTGCTTAGATATATCTGCGTTTACACCTAAAATCCTGAAGGAATCAAAGATAGCTCTCTTTGCTGTGGAGGGGAATGTTTTTGATATGAAATCTTTTCACAACTTGGAAGGCTATGAAGAGGTAAAATTGTAAAAAATTGCTTCATAATGAAATTCTTCATATGAACAAATGTCCATTTAAGAACCACTGTACATGTTTTTAAAGGAAACATTTTTAAATGATGCCAATAACTTTTCACAAATTATGGTCTTTATAAATTACCTTTTCCCGAGAATGCTTTGTGCCAAGTTTGGTTGGCAGACACCTGAGTAAATGTGATCAGAAAAGGTAATTTATACACTTTCAGCTCAGGTAAGCTTAAAAGGATATTTCAATGATAGGGTCAAGATGCTAATTGTGGCTTTAATTTTTTTTTTTCAGTATATGGAAAGATATACAGAAACAAAGAAAAAGTTTAATTGAGATAATAACCTGAAAATACTTTAGTCCTTCTCTCATTTGTTTTTTGTATATTGTGTTCATAAGATTTATTGTATAATGAAGGGATAATGAACAATTCTGAATAAATTATGTATTCTAAATAATGATTAAAATGAAGAACCTAATTCACATGAGTGGTAACATATTAGAAGCCAGTCATTTTGCAATGTTTTTGACAAGCTATGTTCCCTTGATCAAAATTAGTAACATTTCTCTCAAAATATATGCAGTTAAATAATTCATTTTATTCTATATTTAGAAAAAAATATGAAGAGAAAGTTTGTGCAAATTTTCAGTAAGGGATTTGTAGGAAATTCAAATTAATTTTTTTAATATCTTGAGAGAACACATCTCTCCAAATAAAAAAAAAAGCATGTAAATTCTCATGATGGGGTATTTATTCAAAAAATACCTTCAAATTTATAACCATGATTACAAAAATTGTACCATTCATTTATTAGATATGGTAGTTCTGATGAATGATGTTGCAAGTTATTTTACTTGAATATGATTTTTATCCTTAATGATTTGAATTTTTACATTATTTCCAGTATTGTATGTAATGTGGATTGTATACATGTGCTGTGAACCCACTTATTGTATTTTTGGGCAAAATGAATAGGAAAAATGATTTGTTTTTTAATTTACTTTGTGGTTTAATTATATATTAAACAGAACAAACAGTAATTTATAAGTATTTTTCCTTCCTTTGTTTTTTAATCTAAAATATAAAGTGGAAAAACTGGTTATGTCGTGTGCTAGATGTTATGACCAAATTGAAATACTAGTAATAAGAAGTCTGTGTGCCAATGCTCACTAGTAATACCCCTGCTCTGATGTGAATATACACAAGTTCAGTTACGTACAGACAATGAAAAGAACAGGAAAATATTAACATGAGACTTGTATCAAAATGAATCCATCCATATGGCATGCCTCAACAAAGAGTGTGCTTAAATTTCATGCAACTGCACTAAGTAGTTGTTAAAAAAAAACTGCAACAAAAATTTGTTACAAATTTTAGAGACAGATAGACAGGAAGTTGAGATTGGATTCTTGCAAAAATGAATTTCACTTATGGCATGCCTACACAAAGAGTGTGCTAAAATTTCATGCATCTGCAATGAATAGTATGTTGCTGAGAAAACTGAGATGAAATTTGTTATGTATGGTCCTGCATGATAAACAGGAAGTTGATATTGTATCATAAAAATGAATCCCACCATTTGGCATGCCTAAACAAAGAGTGTGCTAATATTTCAAGCATCTGCAATGAATAATTGCCGAGAATATTGTGACAAAATTTTTTATGTATAGTAGAGACAGACACACTGATAAATACAAAGTTAACATCAGATTCAAACAAATATGGAAATCGCCATATGGCAGGCCTAAACAAAGAGTGCTAAATTTTCAAGCATCTGAGGTGAGTAGTTGCCGTGAAAACTGTGACGAAAAATTTGTCACAGACAGTCAAACAGGGGTAAAACAGTATATCTACTGTACCAAATTAAAGTTGATAATTCTCAATTAAGCAATGTACACATCTCAAAACCTTTGCTGGCACTAAAGTTTTGTATGTGTAGCAAAAAATTAAAAATGCATGGCTAGGCCAGGAATTGACCCCTGACCCCTGCATCACTAGACAGGCGCTCTACCGACTGAGCTATCCATGGCCTACAATATTACATTTGTGCTATCCATGGCCTACAATATTACATTTGTAAGAAAAACAAGAGATGTTTGTAAAACACTTACGTCCCCCTCCCCCCAAATTTGAATTTTTCAAAGTCCAAAAGGGCATAAATGGTGCAATTGTACCCAAAACAGAATCATCTGATAAATCTGTACACTAAATTTCATTTCAGTATGTGCAATAGTTGTGAAGAAAACTAGAGGTACTGTGAGCGATGAGCTCACTAAATGATACCCCCCGCCTCCCATATGGTTATAACTGGTGAAAAAGTCCATGTTTTCCTGTGGCCGGGAAACCCAAAATATATGTGGAATCAAAAAGTAAAATAGGAGGTGCACAATGGCAATATGTAATAAAGATTCTGTGAAAGTTTCAAAATTTCATTCAGTGGTATGAGAGGATTTTTACCCCAAAGCGTAAGTCCATGGGGCATAAATGAACAGAAACTGCAAATAATTGGAATTTTTCTAAGTCCATGGGGCATAACTCTGTCAAAAATGGTGTGATCATACCCAAAACATAACTTGACTAGATATTCATCTGATATATCTGTATACCAAATTTCATTTCAGTATGTGCAACGGTTGCAAAGAAAATGAACGGAAACTGCAAAAAATTGGAATTTTTCTAAGTCCAAGGGGCATAACTCTGTCAAAAATAGTGCGATCATACCCAAAACAGAACTTGACCTAGATATTCATCTGATATATCTGTATACCATATTTCATTCAGTATGTGCAAGGGTTGTGAAGAAAATGAATGGAAACTAAGTGGACCGACTGACAGACAGCAGCAAAGCAATATGCCCTCCCTTCTTCAAAGGGGGGCATAAAAATAAATTTAGGCCATGCAAAATTAATTCCTTGAATATGATGAGGGAGGGAGGCATTTTTTTTTTACTTTTTATTGAAAACATGATGAGGCAGCTTTTTACATTGTACAAAACCTCAAAAAATGATGAGGGAGGTGATTTGTTGTTTCTATTTTATTGATTTAGCAATAAAAAGGGTCAATTTGGAAGAGATGAGGGAGGGCCAAAGGTTATCTGATTTAGTCCTATAGTCAATATCTTAACCAAAGGTTAAGATGCACTGACACTTGGGAAATAATTACAAGAAATCTTTGCTTCATGAGATGTTTATTAATAATATATTAACATAAGTATAGCACAAAGATAAAAAACAGTTCCTTGTAACAGTGACTGAAAGCAGTTTCTGTTTAATATACAACTATTAAACACCAATCTTTATCTATACATTTTGATCAAATTTGAGAGAAATGACATTTTATTCCTTTAATTTACAATTTGACTATTAAATTTTAATATTTTTAAGGCTACAAAACTAAGAGATTTTATATTCAAAAACATACTTGTACACACAATTGTCAACCTTTGGGTTGATTGATCTTTATAATTTAAGTTTTAATATATATATATATATATATATATATATATATATATATATATATATATATATATATATATATATATATATATATATATTAAGCATCAATTTCAAGCACGAGTTGTTTTTTTTTATTTCAAACACTAGTGCCTATCACATGATGTCATGATCTGCAGTGCTGTTTTTGAGCTTAATTAAAATGAAACAATGATGATAACAACAGTTATGTCTACCTAGCTGCTAGGTGTTCTAGAAAAAGATAGAGAGAAGATTGAACATCAATAATACACAAACTTCATCAAGTATGCAGAAGATGAAAATACACAATACAAAACAACTACTGGTAATTAATGCAGAATCTGATTTAATATACATGTGTTATTCTATATATATGTAAGACTCCAAAGTCCGATGGTGACGCCAAAGTCCGATGATCTCGCCAAACCCCGATGGTCTGCGCCAAACCCCGATGGCTCGTTGTCTTTACGGACGCCAATGTCCGATGGTCACGCCAAAGTATGGCTCGTTTCCTACGCGCGACGTGAAGTGCGATGGTATATATATGGTAGGAAATTTTACGTCACAATAGTCCGACGTCATGACGTTATTCTGCATTCAAAATTAATTGATTCAGTATTCGTCTCACATACGTTTTTACGGATATTGCTTTTTGTTTTCACCCACCACCAGAGGTATTAGGGTTAGTCCTCGTACACCATTGGAGTGATAAGGGCTAGTCCTTGAACAGTAAGGTGCTTCTTCGAACCCACCCGAGAGATTTTAGGGTTAGTCCTCGCACACTATTGGGCTGATTTGATTAGTCCTGCACCCACCTATGATAGTTAGGTTAGAGTTGATACTCATTGTTCGACTGATAAGTCTTAGTTTCGCACCTACATCCAAAAGACGAGGGTTAGTCTTTGTATTTATGATATTTTGTCTTTATTTATTGGCATGGCATGACATCGCATTTTTGCGCAGTAGTACTATGACGTCATAGACGTTTATTGTGTTTTGCCATCGGAATAAACCATCGGGGTTTGGCGCATTTGGCGTAACCATCGGACTTTGGAGTCCCATCGCACTTTGGAGTCCTACATATATACATAAAATTTTAAATTAATATTGGAATTAGCATATTGCACAATATATGCCCAGAGTTAAAATTTTGCAGTTTGGACACAAAGAATTTCTGCATGCAACAACAGTGTCTTTCAAGGTGTAAATCTGACAGACATTTTTTTTTTTTTTAATAATTATTAATTCATCAGGAATCCAATTATCAAACTGATGATTGAATCCAGTTCTTAAAGTTTTATAGAGAACCAGGATAAACGAAACAACCAAGTTATTACAGATATGTTCAGTTGATTTAGCAGGTGGACATGCTCTCAATAAAAATCAATTATACCCCAGTTTTTATGTTAAAAGTAAAACAAGTTTAAAATCTTAAGAGCTCCCATGATCATACAATGAATTTACAGGTGCGTAATTTATCTTCATGAGTTGTCGGCCCCTGGCAGACCAACCTTCTGAATGGTTTTGTAAACTTTTGATTTGGCATCTCGGAGAGAAGAAATTCGAAACACGTAGATGAGAATTTATCATTGGTTACGGAGAATTTTGTTTGCCCTTTTGTTGGCAGCATCAACACGATCATTCAAACATCCACCCTGTGGTGCAAAAAACAGAATAAAATGCATGCTTAAAAAAAAGAAAATCAACAACAACAATCTAACTCAAAAAGTCTCAGACACCAGATAAGTATAGCTATTGTTAGGCAACTTCTGAGTAGTTTTTTTTTTTTTTTTTTACGCTTAAAATGTCTGATTCTTTTTGTAAATAAACAAAACAGGCATGCTAAATATAGTTAATGCATGTTTTCTGGAATGACTTCTGTAGAATGTTCTATTAAATAATCTTCATCACAATGAAAACAAGTCTTAATATGCTTTATTTTCTGCTGGTTTTAAAAGTGCTATTCAATAAGTTTTTTCTAAAGAAGACATTACAGGTTAACTCTGCTTAAAAAATAATAACAACAAGAAATAATTTCAAACAGAAAGAAAAGGAAGTACTTGTTATATTCACCAAAGACCCAATCATTTTAAATTCAGAAGAGAAAATTAACACAAAACGTAGATTTACTTGAACTGCTCATTTTGACTTTCACCATTGTTGACAGAAATCCTTGCAGGTGAATATAATCAAATACTACTCCCTTCCTTCTCAAGGAATCAAATGAACTTGAAACACTAAGGAAACATAATACACAACAAATATGGATCTACATGTATGCTTTTCTTTCTTTAATAATAAATGTCACAAACATTATAACATTACCTGTACTTATATGGAATTCATTTGTTTACTGTTCATGACACTAATGCAAAATCTGCTTAATGTATATCTTAATTTTTCTTAGATTTATTCTTAATTTGGATGCAAAGCTTTGAAATTTCTTCTATGTAGATCCATTTTTCAACTGAAAATTGTCTCTCTACTGGGCACAGAACCAAACACAACCAACTCTACCAACAATTGTGTCTCCACTAGGTACAGAAGTAAACACAACCAACTCTATCAACAATACTGTGTCTCCACTAGGTACAGAACGAAACACAACCAACACTTATCACAAATCCATGCCAAGGACAGATTTCAATTCGTTTGTAAATTCTGCATCACACCTTTTCTGCATTTAATGATGAAATGTCATACATGACTGAGAATGTACACATTCTGCTATGCATCTACATGAGGTAACATAAAAATAATGAGGTGTTAAGTAGATACATGTATTGCAGTAAGAGAAAATAATGATAAATCTATAATAGTTTAATAAAAAGGAATGCAATATCAACAGTTAGTTATCTTTCAGTATCTTTCTGGCTCTCTGGTTCGCTCCCTGAATCCGGGACTCGTTAGACTGGGTCTGTAATTAAAACACAGCAGGTTAATGAGGCTTTGTTAGTAATCCACATCCAGGATTGGCCGTATTAATCAGACTGTTGTATTAAAAAGACCTTCAATCTTGGCCTTATTGAGTTTTTAAATCTATCAACTTTATACCGGTAATTATTAATTTATTAATTTAATTTAACAGTTTCTAAGAAAATATTCTTCGAACTGATCTCTGGCATTACCGTGAAAGTAGAACTTTTGGTGAGACACATTTAGCAATTTATCTCTCAACACAAATGATGATACATGTATTTTCAGCAAGAGGTAATTTTATATTGTTAAGAAAGATAGCTATAAAAACCTACCAGTATACAGCGTAAATTGTACTACGCAATATTCAACTTAAATGATCTCAAAATCCTCTTTAATAATGCCAAAATTGAATTCTTATTAAAAGTTCTGATTAAATGGTATTAAAAAATAAGAAAGACCTAATAATTATCAAGGTTCTGAATATTGAATTTGGAAATTCTGGATATATTATTTTGAGAATTATGCTTTTAAAATCATTCTAAGAAACTGATGTGCATCTTATTTTGTAGTTGTAACCATTTTTAAAATGCATTGGTGCTTACACAGACACTTTTTAAATGACCTTGAAAAAAAAATTCCATGTATAAGCAAAACAATGAAAGACATCTATTCAGTGATTAAAAAAGAAGCAGGATTTGTGACACAAGCTGTGCTGTAAGAGATAAAGAAATGAAAATAAAATAATATTGCGGGATTGACAAAAACTGAAGTCTTACTAGGGGGAATCGTCTGTGATAAATCATACAAGGTGTTGGATCCTAGGGTAAAAGTGAAGACATATAAGGAATGTGTACCTCAGCATTTTCTACGTTTAAGGACTTTAGAATTTCTTATCATCTGATTGACTTGAGTGATTCCATATGTAACTATGAAATTAATCCTACAAAAAAGCACTAATTTACAACTGTATCCTACATGTACATGTTTTAAAGAATGGCATCATAAGAAAAAGGGACCTATCAAATATTATAATAATTAATACAGTAAAACATTTTTTTAAGGGACACAGACTGTTTGTGAAGAAATCTTTTCATCAATGCCCAAAACTTTATAAAATACATTCAAAACCTATGGGTCATGTGCTGATATATTACTGGTACATATTCCTTACATGTTTTCTTGCAAAAAAAAAAATAAAATCATAGTTTACTCTACATGCCACTGAAAAAGATAAAGTGATACATCAAATTAAAGATTATAATTAGGAAATACAACTTCATTGATTTGATGTTTAGACCACATTTTAACCAGTACTTCCAATTGCTATTTTCTTTTTATAAACCAATGAAGAAGTATAGGATGAAGTGATCTGACAGAAATAACACATATATATAAATACACTGTTCAGTCATCTGTTAATCTTTAAGCAAAAGATTGGCTCGTTTATTGGCCTCAATAATACGCTCCACATTGGATCCACCCTGCAAAAAAACAGATCAGCAAAAACATACATAATGTAATCTATTTTACAATAGAGGAGAATTTGTCTTCAAAAATTAAATCATTTCAAAAATATCTCCCTGTCTAACAAGAAAAATTATGTAAATTTTTTGTAGAAGAAATGCGTGACTGACCTTATTGTTAATGCGGTCGATTTGTCTGTTTTGGGATTCTATCTCACTGCCCATGTCAATAGCCATGTTTCGAAGATTACCCAGCATGCCACTGACTTGTGTCAAGTTTTCCTCCATTTCATCCTCACGAGCATCATTGGTAATTCTACCAAAAATAAAAACATATCAAAGGTTATAAGTTCATGTTATTTTGATATTTCTCCGACATTTTTAATAAAACATTGGCAATTAAACAAATTGCTTCCAAAGTAAAGACATAACAATGATTATATTATAAAGAAAGACCATGAGATATATCTCTGAAATTTCTGAGATAAATATGCTATAGACAAGTAATACTTTGTTGTTCTTCCTATGCAGAATACGCTTTCAAATTGTTTGATCCCTGTGATCTTGTAGACCAAAAATATCCTTGACCAACTTAGTGATTATTGGATCCTGTGGAAATTTTGCTATATTATGGTTTATCTGGTGATTATTGGGTTGTTTCACTTTGTATTCAGACCTACCCATTATTGAGTCTCTGTATATGATCTACAGACCTTTTGTTTATTTCTCATCGTTAACATTTTATCACTGATTAATGGGGTTCCTGCAGACTTTCCTTTGTACTAGTCCTCTGTGGGTTATCATTTAGCTTCCTTCTCACTAAAAATCCCTTTTTTATTTGGTTTTCGACATAGATGTACATAAAATACATGGTTACTGTCTTGAAATATAAGCGATATTTGGGCGAGGGTAAGAAAACGTGATAGAGGGCGAGGCTTGCTAAGACACATCTCTGCAGTGGAAACCAAGATGCAACTGTGTAAACAATGCAATATACGTGACATCACAATGCTTTTAGAATGTGGGGATACATGCACAAGGCTTTAGAGTTGTGGAGTAAGGATTAATCCTTAAGCTTTGGGTTCATACGTAAACTGAGGTCCTGTGTCTCAATAGGTGCTTGCATAAAAAAGATCCCTCACTGCTCAATATTTTATATCAGCCCATTTTTAGTGATTATTGTTTCTTAAGTTACAACAAATTGTTGAATTTCTTTAGTTTCTTTATACCTTATCTACCTCATTGTAGTCTATGTACATGGTCCAAAACTCTTTCAGTTACCTATTATCTGTTACGTATTATTATTGTTTCCTTGGTCTAGCAGACTTTTGACCTACCTAGTGATTTCCTTGGTCTAGCAGACTTTTATTCTACCTAGTGATTATTGTTTGCCTTGGTCTAGCAGACTTTGACCTACCTAGTGATTTCCTTGGTCTAGCAGACTTTTGACCTACCCAGTGATTATTGTTTCCTTGGCCTAGCAGACTTTTGACCTACCTAGTGATTTCCTTGGTCTAGCAGACTTTTATTCTACCTAGTGATTATTGTTTGCCTTGGTCTAGCAGACTTTGACCTACCTAGTGATTTCCTTGGTCTAGCAGACTTTTGACCTACCCAGTGATTATTGTTTCCTTGGCCTAGCAGACTTTTGACCTACCTAGTGATTTCCTTGGCCTAGCAGACTTTTGACCTACCTAGTGATTTCCTTGGTCTAGCAGACTTTTGACCTACCCAGTGATTATTGTTTCCTTGGCCTAGCAGACTTTTGACCTACCCAGTGATTATTGTTTCCTTGGCCTAGCAGACTTTTGACCTACCCAGTGATTATTGTTTGCCTTGGTCTAGCAGACTTTTGACCTACCTAGTGATTTCCTTGGTCTAGCAGACTTTGACCTACCCAGTGATTATTGTTTCCTTGGCCTAGCAGACTTTGACCTACCTAGTGATTTCCTTGGTCTAGCAGACTTTTGACCTACCCAGTGATTATTGTTTGCCTTGGTCTAGCAGACTTTGACCTACCCAGTGATTATTGTTTCCTTGGCCTAGCAGACTTTGACCTACCTAGTGATTTCCTTGGTCTAGCAGACTTTTGACCTACCCAGTGATTATTGTTTCCTTGGCCTAGCATTTTAAATTATACCTAGTGATTTCCTTGGTCTAGCAGGCTTTTGACCTACCCAGTGATTATTGTTTCCTTGGCCTGCAGACTTTTGACCTACCTATGATTTCCTTGGTCTAGCAGACTTTTGACCTACCCAGTGATTATTGTTTGCCTTGGTCTAGCAGACTTTGACCTACCTAGTGATTTCCTTGGTCTAGCAGACTTTGACCTACCTAGTGATTTCCTTGGCCTAGCAGACTTTGACCTACCTAGTGATTTCCTTGGTCTAGCAGACTTTTGACCTACCTAGTGATTTCCTTGGTCTAGCAGACTTTTGACCTACCCAGTGATTATTGTTTGCCTTGGTCTAGCAGACTTTGACCTACCTAGTGATTATTGTTTCCTTGGCCTAGCAGACTTTTGACCTACCTAGTGATTTCCTTGGTCTAGCAGACTTTTGACCTACCCAGTGATTATTGTTTGCCTTGGTCTAGCAGACTTTGACCTACCCAGTGATTATTGTTTCCTTGGCCTAGCAGACTTTGACCTACCTAGTGATTTCCTTGGTCTAGCAGACTTTTATTCTACCTAGTGATTATTGTTTGCCTTGGTCTAGCAGACTTTTGACCTACCTAGTGATTTCCTTGGTCTAGCAGACTTTTGACCTACCCAGTGATTATTGTTTCCTTGGCCTAGCAGACTTTTGACCTACCTAGTGATTTCCTTGGTCTAGCAGACTTTTGACCTACCCAGTGATTATTGTTTCCTTGGCCTAGCAGACTTTTGACCTACCTAGTGATTTCCTTGGTCTAGCAGACTTTTATTCTACCCAGTGATTATTGTTTGCCTTGGTCTAGCAGACTTTTGACCTACCTAGTGATTTCCTTGGTCTAGCAGGCTTTTGACCTACCCAGTGATTATTGTTTCCTTGGCCTAGCAGACTTTTGACCTACCTAGTGATTTCCTTGGTCTAGCAGACTTTTGACCTACCCAGTGATTATTGTTTGCCTTGGTCTAGCAGACTTTGACCTACCTAGTGATTTCCTTGGTCTAGCAGACTTTGACCTACCTAGTGATTTCCTTGGCCTAGCAGACTTTGACCTACCTAGTGATTTCCTTGGTCTAGCAGACTTTTGACCTACCCAGTGATTATTGTTTGCCTTGGTCTAGCAGACTTTTGACCTACCTAGTGATTTCCTTGGTCTAGCAGGCTTTTGACCTACCTAGTGATTATTGTTTGCCTTGGTCTAGCAGACTTTTGACCTACCTAGTGATTTCCTTGGTCTAGCAGACTTTTGACCTACCTAGTGATTATTGTTTCCTTGGCCTAGCAGACTTTGACCTACCTAGCGATTTCCTTGGTCTAGCAGGCTTTTGACCTACCCAGTGATTATTGTTTGCCTTGGCCTAGCAGACTTTTGACCTACCTAGTGATTTCCTTGGTCTAGCAGACTTTTGACCTACCCAGTGATTATTGTTTCCTTGGCCTAGCAGACTTTTGACCTACCTAGTGATTTCCTTGGTCTAGCAGGCTTTTGACCTACCCAGTGATTATTGTTTCCTTGGCCTAGCAGACTTTTGACCTACCTAGTGATTTCCTTGGTCTAGCAGACTTTTGACCTACCCAGTGATTATTGTTTGCCTTGGTCTAGCAGACTTTGACCTACCTAGTGATTTCCTTGGTCTAGCAGACTTTGACCTACCTAGTGATTTCCTTGGCCTAGCAGACTTTGACCTACCTAGTGATTTCCTTGGTCTAGCAGACTTTTGACCTACCTAGTGATTATTGTTTCCTTGGCCTAGCAGACTTTGACCTACCTAGCGATTTCCTTGGTCTAGCAGGCTTTTGACCTACCCAGTGATTATTGTTTGCCTTGTTCTAGCAGGCTTTTGACCTACCTAGTGATTTCCTTGGCCTGGCAGACCTTTGACCTACCTAGTGATGATTGGTCCCTGTGGCCCAGCGGTTTCACCTACTATCACCCTTGGACCATTCGTGTTCACCTTCCCATCCTCTGATGCCTTCCATGTTTTGTCATAGTCTCCTCCTTTCTCAAAGTTCTTTGCCCTGGAAAAATATAAAATATGTTCACATACTGAAATTCAAGGTTATGCTGTCAATAAAGAAGTCACCCACTCACTTCTTTGTTATATCATACTAAAATCACATTTAGTAAAAGTATGTTAAAAAAAACATGTTCACAACCCAACAGGACAGAAAATGTGAAAGTCTATCTCCTGTATGTAAGGGTACCAGGTAAAAATGATTTTAAATACAAACCGTTTCCATGGTAACACACAGAGCCCACAACACTTTTCCAGTCCCTCCAGGTTTTTCTCAGCATCTCTCATGTCCTGGTTGATTTGGTCCATACCCTCTTCAATTCGGTCCAATTGTTCTATTTTAAATTATAATGGAGAAAATTTAGCATTTTAAAACACTACATTATGATTGTAACATACTGTAAATGTATTTAATTGGCATGCAAGACATTTGGCCAAATTTTCAACAAGTAGACAAAGAACTGATTTAGTGCATGCTGAATTTCCTTTATAATCAAAGGATTTAGCAATGTACTTCATTCATTGGAAGCTGCTTTTCAGGAAAGGTGCTAAATAAAATGCACAGCCAAATGTTATACATTTACAGTTAAGGTGAATCTTTCGGCAAACTTGGTATTTAACAATCTAGTAACAAGGGTAAAACGAGGAATCACTTAAGTTATCAAAAATTAGCACACTAGATACTTTTTATAAATAAATTTAAATGCAAATGCAATAAATAATCTTTAATCTACAATGATTTAATAGTCATCACTATTATGAAATGGAGATTAATTAAACAAATAAATTAGTTAAGCATTCAAAACCCTTCCATTTGATCAAACCACAGCAATATACAGGTCATAATAAAAAGCAACCATATTAAAGCTATAATTCATTATACGTTGCCTTCATCAACTCTCAACATGCTGTTAATCGATCATGCCATCTTACCCCCTTGTTGATCCAACATTACGATGGTTTTAATTCCAACATCTTGTGACTGAAAGATTTTAAAAACAAAATCACAACATCAATACTACATGCAAAATAAAAAGAAAGTTTTAAAAAAAGTAAAAGATGACTTAAAACAACTAGCAATAAGAAAAAAGAAAATAACAATAGCTAAAACCTTTTACACAGTTAATGAATAAGTAAGAGTGAACATAGGATTTCCATAAAAAATACTACTGTAAAATCACATATTTTTTGGTGGGGTCAAATTTTCGTATTTGAGGAAAATCTCTTGGTTCATGGGGATTTGATTTTGTGGATCAAGAATTAATAAGTACTTAGGTATGTAACATTTTACATTTCGTGGGTCTCATCATACCTCGAAAACAACAAAAATTAAACCCCAACGAAAATTTGTGATTTCAAAGTAACGAATTCTAGCAATCTATGATGGAAATAAATTGTATTTTTTCACTCTTTACAAAACAGCCCTACCCTAACACCAGAACATCGACCCAGGGGCCATCAAATTCCTAATTTTGAAAGAGGCACCATTTGTCATCATAAAATAAGTATATGCATTCAGAGTACCGGGTATTTGTTTAATACTCAGCAGCAGAGAAAAAGATTTATAAAGCAAAAAGCTTCTTCTTTCTTAATGTACTATTTATTTATTTATTTATCAGAAAATCAATTCAACCTACATGTATTTAATATAAACTTTTTTTAGAGATCAGAAGAAGGGTTTTTAGACAAGAAACTTCTTAATTGTTGGAAGACAAGATCAATGCTGCCAATATCTTATTTTCTCACAATTATCATTTAAATGTTTGTCATTCTTGAAAGGAAGGACAAGAGCATAAAGAGAGAACATTAGAATCAGATGGTATATAAATAAGCCGCAGATCTGTATCTCACTTCTACGTAAAGAATTGGAGTAAATAAAAATGGTTAGGCCATCCTCCTATTTTTCAGATCAGTGAGCTACAGTTCTACAGTCTAAATGACATTTCAGTTGTAATGATGAGCAGGATACTGAAATCTTGTATTATAATTTTGAAGACCTCATAATAACTCTTGTTTTTATTTCCATCTTGTACTTTCCCAAGACTTGCCCGGGATTTTAGATCCCCGATGGCAGAATCGATACCAGTACAAGTCATTACTGAGCCAAATCTGGACACTGAGAGACCCAGAATAGGAGCTTCATTTCCAGAATAAATGAAAGTTGGTCGTAAATCTGTCACATGCAGGAGAGCATGCTAGCTAAACAAGGTGCACGTTACACGGCCTGTGTCACTTTGACAGTCTACAGCTGTATTAAAGTACACTAATTAGACTCCAGGCAAGGATTCCAAAAGAGTTCCTTATTTATGTCCCAAAGAGGGTGGAAGGACTTTAAAACAAAATGGAGACAACTCCTTGGCATGGATAACATTTCAAACTACTAGTAGAGATAATATATTGTCACAGGGAACATAAGCAACATTAGGATATGACAAAATTAAAGTCTAATCGCTTGATGAATTTGCTTATTCTCAAATAACTGACTTAAACTCGCCCTATTCTCAAAACTTGTCTTTTACATTCCAGGACATGATATTTTTTTCTGTCAATTCTTCTTATCCCGTCTGCAAATATGTTGATGTTTTCTAAAGAAAAAATTCCCACCTACCTACAAACCCTATAATTTTACCCTGAGTTGGGCGAGGGCAAGAAAACATTATTTTAAAAGATGGTCTAAGAGGTTAAAAATATATGCAAATTAACTGAAAACAAGAGTGCCAAAGAGTAACAAGTCATAAAGTCAGTAAATTTCTTGCCAGGCGGCAATAAATGAAAACTTACATTGTGTTTATAAAGTAGTTTATATAATGAAATGAATTTTTTGATCAAACTTCCTATGTCACTATCTGATATGGTTTACAATTATTATATTCACAGAATCACAGTGCAATCAGATAAATCCTTGTAATATTTTGTTTTTTATCATAAATCAAAGCAAAGAAAAGTCTGTAAAAAATCATGAGATAATTAATCTACAAAACCAAACAAAAAAGAGAACTTAAAAATAAGCAGACAATAACTGCTACAGTGTACACTGTTGGACACAGAGAAATGCTGCAGCGACTGGAATCTGGAGGCATTAGAGACAGTCCGATATACTACACTCCTCCCAGGCTTTTGGAATAATATGTAATTATAAAACTAGTTCTACGGAATAATACGATATTATTAACTAATTCCTGTACAATTGTTACATATTAAAATTATATTTACTGGATTTAAAGATTTCTATTTTCCTTGGACTGACATTACATTATATGGAATTCCAGAAAATATTTAAGATATGATGGTATTCATTTCATAAAATTTCCTTGTAAAAAGACTCAATACAGTTGCTGATGAAGTCATTCATATATGTTTTAAAATATATTATTTTAAAATAATAATCAAAATATCATATTTGGGATTAATTTTAGAATTGATTAAAGAATTCATTTAAAGAAAACAAAGCCAAAATTGATATTCCGAAAACTTGGGAGTACATGTAGGCTGTAAGCAGAGGGCAGCCACCACAGTTACATGTTGTCATGGTTATCTTACCTCCCTGCTCATCAAGCATTACTAATGTCTTGATGCCCGCCTCCTTACTCTGGTCAGAGGATAGAAAACAGATCAACACACATCAAAAACCGTAACAAAAATTCACAAGCATCTCCCACTATCTCTTATATATGGGTTAGTAAAGCTTTGCAGTGTAAGCCAAAGACTCTGTATGAACGATTCTTATTTTTTGTAGAAGATTCCTTTGTGAATTTTTTTCTCTACTATTGTTTGAGGGTGACACCAGAACATAAAAGTATTTCACAAAAACTGACATGTTTCTGTGCATGTATTCATACAACAAACGGAAACAAATGTTTCTTACTACAAAGAAAGATACCTTAACTTAAACAACAAATGAATCGTCATTGAACATATGATAAACACTAATAATACACGCAAACAGTGTGTGACAGAAATGACTACTGATACATAGCCAGTGTGTCTAACAAACAGAACAGCCAATACAATAGGCTCTTCTGCTTACCTCCCTGTTCATCTATCATAACAAGAGTTTGTATGCCTGCCTCCTTGGCCTGTTGCATGTCAAAACATTTTAATTCATAGAAAAATGAAAATGGAATTAAGAGATTCATATATTGTAAATATAGAAAAATTTCAATGCTTTATTTATGACTATCATAAAGCAGAACTTGATTTTTCCCCACTGACCAAAACTTAACTTTACAAAAGCATCCCTGAAAAGTGGAAAAAATATTTATTTCCCTGAAAAGTGGAAAAAATATTTATTTGGCGACCAAATTAACCACTGTGGAAAGATCCTGGTAAAGCAAGAATTTCTTTACATCAAGAAAACCCAATCAGCAAATTAAAGGTCCACTTCAGTTTTTTGGAGGTACTGTTGGACTGAAGTAAGCTCACTAAATGATCCCTCCCTACTTTAATCAATCAATCAATCAAATAAGAGGCCTATGGGTCTCAATGCTCACCTGAGTAACTATGACCCTGATTATCATGGCTTTGCTATTCATTAGAAGAATACTTCATTATATGTCCTGGCTAGGCTAATATTCTTGCTTTGGGGAATATTTTGCTGTTCCTGCAATTCACTATTTTATATCCCTACATAAAACTTTGATACCCCATTTCTGTCCCACTCTACCTCAGGTAAGGTTTTCCCTCTTTATGTTAAGGTTCACTGACCTTCTGATAAGAGAGACAACTCTCTTGGGAGAGAATGCCTATTATATCTTTACAAAATTGTCAAGACAAAAGGCCATTTCTTTAGAATTTTGCTCTATCAGGCAAACATTGATTAAATTGTGGGCAAATCCATTACAATTAAAAATTATATTTCTTTTAAAAAATTGTTATTGTAAAAGCAAAATTTCACATAAATAAAAAGAGGGCTACTCAGTCTTAAGAAATTCTTGCTTTGCCCTGATTAATACAAAGGTTTTACTTGAATTGGCCACCACCTAGCATCTATTGGCGGTCTGTCTGAATAAAACATGGACAATGATCACTGCTCATGGCAACATAGCTTATAATGCTTGTCTTAACCTTAATCTAGAATTCTTTGAAGAAATTTATCCTCGATATCACGTTCCCTTGATTCCTAGTTATCTTTAACAGAACAAAGGTAACCTGATTCTCCACAATAACAAATACTACAGCCTCACATACTTCTTGATATAAATATTTAATTGTGGATATCACATTAATTGCAAACTATAGCACTAATTATTACAACTTTAATTCCAAAATACTCTGGATGAGGTATTGTAAAAGCTCATGAGAAAAAAAAAATCAACTTGAGATTTTCTGAAACTATATAGCATAAATTGGATGTCTTTTGCTTGAGAGGGTTCAGGTGACAAATACTGCTAAAATGACTTTAATTTTGGATAAGACTTAATCCTAGGAATACTCAAAATTTCAATGATGATAAAATTAAACAATGCATAAGATAAACCGCTGTCCTCTTCATAACGCACTCATTACTTACCTCTTCACACATATTAAGCATCCGACGTGTGCTCTCCAGGGACTAAAAAAGAAACAAAAAACATTTGTAAACATAGAGGTAATGTAAAATTTACAAATGAAGTTTTCATAAATCAGCACATTAATAAAAGTTTCCTTCCATTTCAACTGTGTGTGTGTGTGTGTGGGGGGGGGGATATTTGATCATAACTGGTTAACCATAAGAAGGTAAGGTTACCTTATAATAAGTATAACATACACAGCAGTGGGATATGTTATATGGAATCTACTGGGTGCTAAGTTGATCTATTTCATATCATTGGGAATTTATTGGGGGCCGAGTTGGTATAAGTCATAGAAAGCATACTGTACCTGGGGACTAAGTTGATATAATTCATAGGGAATCTATTGTTGGTTACATTGGTATATTTCATAGAAAACCTATTGATGGCTAAGTTGCTATATTTTATAGGAAACCTTTTGTTGGCTAAGTTGGTATATCTCATAGGAAACCTGTTGTGGGCTAAGTTGGTATAATACATAGGAAACCTATTGTGGGCTAAGTTGGTATATTACATAGGAAACCTTTAGTTGGTATATTTCATAGGAAATCTATTGTTGGGTAAGTTGGTATATTTCATAGAAAACCTACTGTTGGCTAAGTTGGTATCTTTCATAGGAAACCTTTTGTTGTCTAAGTTGGTATCCTACTGTTGCCTAAGTTGGTATATTTCATAGGGAATCTATTGTTGGCTAAGTTGGTATAATTCATAGGGAATCTATTGTTGCATAAGTTGGTATAATTCATAGGAAACCTATTGTTGCCTAAGTTGGTATATTTCATAGGAAACCTACTGTTGCCTAAGTTGGTATATTTCATAGGAAACCTACTGTTGCCTAAGTTGGTATATTTCATAGGGAATCTATTGTTGGCTAAGTTGGTATAATTCATAGGAAACCTTTTGTTGCCTAAGTTGGTATATTTCTCAGGAAACCTTTTGTTGGCTACGTTTGTATATATCATAGGAAACCTTTTGTTGGTTAAGTTGGTTTCATAGGAAACCTATTGGGACTAAAGTTGGTATCCTTTGTGAGGACCTATCGTGGGCTAAGTTGGTGTATTTCATAGAGAACCTAATAGAGCCAGGTTGGTACAATTAACAGGGAACCTACTGAGGGCTAAGTTTTCCATTTAATTTTTTTCTGACTTACATTTTTTTTTGGAAAATGATACTAGATTACATATTTCAATTACAATGAAGTTGTAGCCAGAAGAGAAATAGCCTTTCAATGAGAAAAATGATTACACAAAGTCTAGACATTTATTTCAGTTCTTGTATTTGTAAAGCATCTCCTTTTCTAGCTGACAATGAGAATATTTCTATACATCAATACCAACAACAAGCTGTATCTTTGGATATTTTCTTTATTCAGTTGTCATAAGTCCTACAATCTAGTATTATATTAACTTCTCGTGTCTTAACTGTCACTCAGTTTGTCTCAATGCAGCCATTATTCTGTTCAATCCTCCCACATCTTTTACCAATCTCCCACACATAAAAAGAAAAATCAATGTCATAAAAAATGTTTGGAGGTCAAATAGCAAAATATAGAAGATAGATAGAACGACAGACATTACTGAATCTTAGATAAATCAATTCCCTTCATATACTGAAGTCTAGATTCCCTTTGTTCATTCCAGTATAACTTAAAGAGTATGCTGTAATGATGGGAATACAAGTATCACAGAAAGCTCTGATGTCTTATAATTGTCCTTTTTATAAAAAGTAGAGCACTACATCACAGAGAGAAAATAATGACTTTATATTAAGGTTTATAACGGATGTAAGAATCTGACAAAGCCCGAGATGAAGAGACAGGGCATTAAATCTCTGTAAAAACTCCCCCAAGCCTCTGTCCTCATTCCTCAGAAACTTAATCAATATTACAACTAATTAAGACCACACACCAAATGGTCATCATTCAGGCTTTTAGCTCCATAAAAAGCTAACAAAGCATCACAACTGGTATACAGGAAACTTCAGACATAAGTTTGAAAACCTTGAAAATGTCAGAGTTAATTCCAATAGACACTATATCCATTATATCTTGTGGTACAAGTCTCCAGTTTTATATACTTAAATTACATTTCATTCTGTTAATATACACAAATAGATTCTTAAAATGCTTTCAACTGTTTTAATTTTTTCAACTGAAATTTATTAAAGATTGCAAAACAAGTAATACAGTTTTTGTTTTAAAAATGTTTGCTTTCATCATACTAAGTTTCACTATGTGCTAACTGCTTACTTGACATGCTCTTATAATCAGACTTTCTCAGAAACACATGCTTGGATGACCTCAGGTCATTCTCCACAGACCATTCTCTATGTACCATGTGAATGTCGTATACAGAACATACAAGACAATTAGATGTCTTCCTAAAAACACACCAAATCAAAACCCCTTCTTAATTCATGATGAAATGTCCTGGAGAACTTAAATTCTTTTTAAAGACACTTCTTCAAGTGTTATTTTTTAAGAAAGATTTCAGCCAGGTACCTGTTTGTAATACCTCCCATTACCAACTACAAGGTTACCTAAAAGATACTCAGAGAAATCTGGAAACAAAAGCTATATCATAAATTTGCATGTTTTGTTGTGCAGACAATGTACCTAACTGTCAAGAGGGCTTCAGTCTAATATGGACTGTACACAGATTGATCTGTACTTAGGGAGAGTTATCAACTGTCACCTCTAACCCCCTGTTATCAACTGTCATCTCAATATCCAGTGTTTAAAACTGTCAACTCTAAACAGAGAGTTATCAACTGTCAACTTCAACCCCAGAATTATCAACTGTCACCTCAACATCCAGCATTTAAAAAACTGTCACCTCTAACCTCAGAGTTATCAAATGTCAATTCAAACCCAAGAATTATCAACAGTCACATGTAACCATAGTTATCAACCTCTAACCCCAGATTTATCAACCACAAACCAACTTCTGACCCCAGACCTCTAACCCTAGAGTTATCAGCCTAAAACCCAAGATTATCAACTGTCACCTCTAACTCCAGAGTAAAATAATTATCTATTGTCACTTCTAACCCCCTGTGTTATCAACTTTCACCCCTAAACCCCAGAGTTATCAACTGTCAACTCTAACACCTGTGTTAACACCTGTCAACCTAACCCAGTGTTATCAACTGTCTACCCTTACCCAAGAATTATCACTTGTCACCTCTAACCCTAAAGAATTATCAAATATCACCTCTAACACCAGTGTACCCAATTGTCAACTTCTTACACCAGTGTACCCAACTGTCAACCTTAACCCCAGTGTTTGATCAACAGTCAACTCTAACTCACATATTATCAACTGTCAACTCTAACCCCAGAGTTATTTACTGTCACTTTTAAACCTAGTGCTATCAACTGTCACCTGTATCACCTGTGTTATTAACTGTCAACTCTAACCCCAGTGTTATCAACACTAACTCACATGTTATCAACTGTCAACTGTAACTTACATGTTATTAACTGTCAACTCTAACCCCAGAGTTATTTACTGTCACTTTTAAACCTAGTGCTATCAACTGTCACCTGTATCACCTGTGTTATTAACTGTCAACTCTAACCCCAGTGTTATAAACACTAACTCACATGTTATCAACTGTCAACTGTAACTTACATGTTATTAACTGTCAACTCTAACCCCTGGAGTGTTATCAACACTAACTCACATGTTATCAACTATCAACTGTAACTTACATGTTATTAACTGTCAACTCTAACCCCTGGAGTGTTATCAACACTAACTCACATGTTATCAACTATCAACTGTAACTTACATGTTATTAACTGTCAACTCTAACCCCAGAATTATCAATTGTAGACTCTAGACACACCCCAATTCTAAGGCAAAGGAAAGGAAATATAGAAAAATTATATTATATAGGTAAATGATAACAAATCCATGCATGGTCTTTACAATAGAAGTATGAAGTAAATGCAAGAAGCCATGTTCTACTAAGGACATTTAAGACCTCCCCCGTTTTTCAGAGATGGAGGGGGGATAAATTTGTTGACCTACTTCCTGGTTTGCATTGTCCAGTGTTTCCTGTGTGATCTGGCCATTCTCTTCTCCACCCTCCTCTTTCTCAGCTTCTGTCTGTTCTTTGTCATCACTCATGTGGAATAGAGTTACAAATACAAATCCACCGAAGGTCTGCTATCTAAAGTTATTTCCCTTCTGAAGGTGAAGTTATATCCTTAATATTCACATTGCCTTCTTAAAGATTTGGTGTACAGGTATGTATGATTAAATCCTTGCTAAATTCCTTGTCCACCCAGATCATCCCTTATTACATAATCTGTCCATACTCTGTAATTGTTGTTCCTTCAGTAATTTCTCAATTTCTTAAAGATTCTTTAAAGTTCCCTTTCACACTGTGTTGGATTTTAAACACAGATAAACAAAGTTGATGTCACATCAGTTCAGCCACTAATCCAATAACAAGCCAACATATGCTAAGCACCGCTCCCTCCCTTCCCAATTAAATAGCTGCATCAATGGTTATTGATCTACAAAGACTTGAGGAGTCAAGTATTGTGCAATTTCTGTGTATATCAGGCAGACAACAGATGCAAATTGTATGGTAATCCCCAAAGTGCCAACCGACAAGAACTGAGCACATTTCTACATCACGCCACCCTCAAATAAAGACAGTTTTACTGACTATCTGGCATACTGAAAACTATAATGCCTGATCATAAAGCCAGTCGAGTTTATTAATGATTGAGACATCAACATACATAGTATATGGTTTGAGGTCCATGAGTCGAGGTTCATTCAGTATAATTATGCGTATGACCATGAAGAAATCCGTCTTAAGTTTGGTCCTGAACCTTTGTGTTTGTTTCAGCTTCTATTTGACCTGCACTGCTTCATGCAGTTTTGTGTTCTATTGCAACTGTGTACTATGATATGCTTTCATTCTCAAACTTTTTCATATAACAAAAAAAAAATTAAGATTCACTATTAAAAAAGAATTTATATATTTAGCTGAATACTTAAGTTTTAAAAATGGGCAATGTCTTCACTATATATATCTGAGTTCCTAGACTAATTCTTAAGGTCAAGTGAAAATAATTACATGTATATATGTAATTGTTTAGACAACTACTTTTTACAGACGTCTGACAAAAGATTTCTAATTCTAAAGCTTACGTAATTTCCTCCTAAATGGGGCTAATCTTGCCAATGCTGGTATGGATAAATTGTCCCAATCATTAAGATGTGTTGTTACTTAAGGAATTTCAATTATTTTCGCTTTGATCAATGTTGGTCATGTTTTTGCTTGAATTTAAATAAGTTTTCTTTGATACATATTCCTTTTTCAATTGTTGTGATTTCTAAATCTGAATACCAAGTACACTTCAAGTTCAACTTCAGGTCAATACTGTAATTATTTATTTTCCTTTTCAAAGTAATGATACTTTTATTTACAAAAGTTTTTCTTAAATAAATGTGATTATTGGATTTTAATTTCATTAATTGATTGTGATTTCTAAGATAATCAGTAAAAGAGCTCTACAAAGCTTGTGATTATTGTTGTACTTTACACATGCAGTGTCAACTTTAAACAACATTAACTTACTAACATAATAATGAATTCATATACATGTATTATGAAATTGCAATGGTGTTGAAAATTAGATACCCTATATATACTTGTCTCTAAGTCAGAGTAATACATTTTGATACAAAACTTTTTGTTAAATTTCAATGCAAATTCTTCAAAATGGTGTATTTTTCTGGAAAAGGAAATACAGTTGAACTTCAGTATTTCAAACTCCAATCTCTCGAATACCATGGACATGTAGAAGTGATGTGGAAATCCTAACCGCATATTCTTTAAGTATTTTACCCTTGATATCTCGAATCTTTGGATTTATCTTGAAGTTTATTCTCAGCCCCATCAGGTTCGAGATAACAAGTTTGACTGTATAGTAAATAAATATTCATCTAAAAACCGGAAGTGCATGTAATATAAATTAAATAAAATTTGAATAATAAAAAAATTGTTTTATTTTTTTCTAATTTAAAACCTTGACCTAAAATAAAATAAATCCTGGCCTTAGATATGTAATTAGATCATTAGCATATTAACCAAGAGCAAAGGATAAGTATTCATTTCATACATTTCACTATATAATCATTAGAGCCCCACCCTAAAACAAGAACCCCTGTGGGGCCATAAAATTCACAACTTTGGTAGAGGCACTCTTGCTTATCATAACTATGTACTTAGTTAGTTTATTTAATACCCAGGAGCAGAGAACAAGATTTTCAAAGAATTAATGTATTTTCACTATATAATCAATAGAGCCCCGCCTTAACATCAGAACCCCTGACCCTGGGGCCATAAAATGGGATTTTGGTAGAGGCACTCTTGATCATAACTATGTACCTTGGTTTATTTAATACCCATAAACTTGAAATAATGCATTTTCTACCTAAACAGAGCACTAAAAAGGGGCCATGAATTTCACAATTTTGGTAGATAATCATTGCATTACAATATTTTGACTGCTTGATGTCCAGGGGTAAAGAAGAAGATTTTTAAAGATTGCAGTTTTTACTTTTTGGCCCCACCCCTCAGAAACTAAATTCACAATTTTTGTTCCCCTTCACCCATAGATGCTTTGTACCAAATTTGGTTGAAATTGGTTCATGCTTTCTACGAACGACGCACGAGAAACGACGACGGAGACATTCTAGGTCACCTGAGTTTACTGCCTGTATATTAGATGTCTTTTGTGAAACTTGTCACAAGTGCAGTCCTCCAAGTTGTGTATGCTTTCTAAGAAAGGGAGACATTCTGGTTTTGGGTTTACTGCCTGTCATTAACTTTGCTGGGATGTCTGCCTGTCACTGCCACATGTTGGGATCAAACCTCTTAAATAGATTAATTAAGACTTTAGAATTATATTAACTGTGGTACTGTGTCAAGGTCTTTATTAAGTCATACAATGTTGTGATGATTGATTGTATGTTGTTTTATGTCCTATTCAAGCATTTTTCACTGAAATAGAGACATCACCATATACCTATAAAGGGGTTCAAACTTTTGATCTTTACTCGCACTCAAGGTCATTGAGCAGTGAGGGATCTTTATTGTGCTAATGCCTGCCTTGACACAGGACCTTATTTTTTAAGGTTTCAAGGTCAATATGGTTGTGAAGGTCATATATTGATAATCAAAGTCAAATCTGGAAAGTTAAAATGACCATTTTGTGGTTAAAAACATCTAGTAAACACTGTATCTGCTCTGACCCCTATATTAGGTTAGAGGACCTTGAGGACCAAGCAAGCTGTGAGGAATAATACCACCTCTAAAAACAACTCATCAAACAGCATAACTTAAACATCAAAGAATGCTGCAACAAAATGGTTAACCTACACATCTCTTTCAATAATGGATATGAGTTTTCAATATCCTTGAGAATTTATCCCCATAAGAGTGTCAAATAAATCAATGTTGAACCTTTAATTTACACTGCTATAACCTGGGATAGAGTCTTTGATATAGTTGCACCCTTTCCTTGTATAGCTGTGATACACATTAAGCAGTTCTCTCATTATGGTAGAATTGTGATAAAGTTGTACAGGATAGAGATCGGGGAGAGGGACTGAGACTGAAATTATCCAATTTCCTTTTTTCTATTTTAGGAATCAAGTTTACCAATGCTGGGTTGACACTTTTCAAAGAATTTTTTCAATATGCCAGCAGAACTGTAGTCAATACATTGTGGTGATTTCAATAATTCAGGAGCATGCAAAGCTAATGAATGAAATGATTCCGAGATGTTCAATTTGACAATGAAAATTGTAAAACAGAGTTACATGGAGTTTTGGCAGTCTATGATGTAGCTGATTCTTTGGGTAGGCTGTATTTACAAGATTATTCCCATTTGATCTCCTCTAGAAGTTCTTCATTTGATTATCAAGGGCACACTTATACTATCTCAAACAATTGTTTAACCCTAATAAAAGCATGCATTATTAATAAAGATATCCATTAATTAGAAATATACTTATCCTTACTTTTATTGCTCATATTTTATAGCTCTGCACCAGTAATATGTTGCACAATTTAGTTTACCAACAACACTAAAATGTTGGGAATTAAGTTACAAAAAGTAAAATTATACAATGTGCTGAGAAAAGTTGTGACAAGTAACCCCTGTGTACAATTACAGAATGTGCTGTGAGAAAAAATTCAACTGAGAAAAATCACAAATTTTGCTGTGAAAAATAATTGAGTACATAAAAATGAGCTGTGAAATGTTTACTACCGAGTACAGATAGAAGATGTGCAGTCAGAAGTAATAGCTGTGTACAATTACAAAATGACTGAGAAAAAACAACCAAGATCAATCAATGAATTTGTTGTGAAAATAAACATTTAAGTACAGGTTCAAATTGTGTTCTGCCAAGTAAAACAACTGAGTACAATTACAGTATGTGCTGTGAGGGGGAACAACTAAGTATAATGATTTTACAGAATGTGCTATCAGAAATTACTGAGCAAATTCATAAAATGTGCTGAATGGAGAACTTAACTGCATACAATTATAACATAACTACTGAGTACAATTATTAAAATGTGCTTTGAGAAGAAACCTGGACCCAGTACAATACAAAATGTGCTAAGAGAAGAAGAAACTGAGCTCAACTCAAAATGTGCTGAGAAAAGTAACAATTAAGCTCAACACAAAATCTGCTGAGAGAAGAAGCAACTGAGCTCAACTCAAAATGATATGTGCTGAGAAAAGTAACAATTGAGCTCGAAACAAAATGTACTGAGAGAAGAATCAACTGAGCTCGATTAACACAAAATGGGCTGAGAGAAGTAACAATTGAGCTCAATACAAAATGTACTGAAAGATGCAGCAACTGAGAAGTAACAAGAATAATATTCCAAAACTGGCTGTCAGATGTAGGTATTTTTTATTCTCTCATCTTCTTATTAGAAATATGTCCACTAAACATGAATGCTCCACCCAAGGTACATTTTTATTGCAACATGAAAAGAATGGTACCATCCTATCTTGGTCAGAGATAATTGTCAAATATGAAGGAAGTTGGACACACATTTTTATATTTTATCAAATATAGATTTTGGGTAACTTCAAAATGCAGGAAGAGTCAAGGTCACTGGAAAGGCCAAGGTAAAGAAATAATGACACAATGGAATTGCTCTGACCAATAAAAAGCTTCAAAAGTGAAGGTCAAGGGAAGTAAAAAAGGTAATAAGAAATGTCAAGGGAAGAAAATTGTGAGACTTGGGTTAATCATACCAATACCAAAAAGTAAAATGTATATAAAAAAAGAAGTACAAGTCTTACAGAAGGTCAAAGTCAGAAAATTGTGACACATTTGAAAAGCATTTATCAATACATGCATGTATTAGTATCAATTTTTGTTAACATATCTT